CTGAGATGAAGACTCCTCCTTCTGCCGTGAATGTGGTCAGCAAAAGAGGAAGTAAATCAGCAGACATTCTAATCTATGAGCTCCTAAATGATGCAATTTCTTAAAAGATGATTAATTCTTTTTCTTCTTTTAGGTTCTTTCATACCTGCAATAGCATACCCTGGTGCTTTTTACTCGTGTGCTTAAATACTTTTGTGCAAGTTACCTTTAGCTGTCAAACAATCAATTGCTAAAATGTCTCTGTCTTGTTTTGTTGTGTATTCTAATGTCTTTACTTCGTGGTAATGAACTTTGTTAAAAATTATTATTATCATCATTTTTTTTTGTCTTTTTGAGAGAGGGTCTCCCTGTAGCCCTAGTATTTTGTTAGTTTTTTTTTTAAGACAGGGTCTCCCTGTAGTCCCAGCTAGTCTCAATCTCACAGAGATCCACCCGCCTCTGCCTCCCAGTGCTGAGATTAACGGTGTGCGCCACCGCACCCCACTTGTTAAGTATTAATATCACTATATTTTTCAATTCTGAGGCATGACTGGTAGAAGACTGACTTGGCAGATTTGGAGGAGAAAAAAACTCATTAAATATACATATTTTAGAAGATGAATATTGATTTTATAAACATCAAAATATTAAGGCATGTGTCATTTTGAAAAGTGGTAAATGAATCAAATGATTTAAAACATGATAAATTGATGTTAGTTTTTGTTGCTGTCTTCTAATATTTTGTTGTTGCTGTTGTGGTTTTGGTCATGTATATAAATCTCTTCTATATTTGATTACCCTACATGAGAAATTCATGAATTTTCCTAAATCAAACTGTTCCATCAGTATTTAACTGATGTCCATTATGAACCATATATATCTTAATTTCATATGATTTTGGTCTTTATTCTAAAATCTCAACAACTGTCTGAAGTTTACACTACTTGAATTTTTTTACACAAACAGGCAATTTAAGATGAACTACAGGTAGAAATAATTTTATGTACAACAGAGTCTGAAAGTCTTCAAGTCTGTCATCTTCTAGTGAGCCAAAAAGAAATGTTGGAGTTTTCATCAACACTGAGGTCATTTTCTTTTTTTTAAATTTAATTTTATTATTATTTTTTTTATTTTATGTGTATGCCTGTATTGCCTGCATGTAGGTAAGTGCACCTGTGTCGTGTAATGCCCGTGGAGGACAGAAGAGGTCGTGGGATCCCCTGGAACTGGAGTTACAGACAGTTGTTTGCTGCCATGTGGGTGCTGGGATTCAAACACAGGTCCTCCGCAAGAACAACTGGTGTTCTTAACCACTGAGCCATCTCTCCAGCCCCTGAAGTCATTTTCAAGTAGGAAACAAGATGTGACTTCCATACCATACCACTTTCTCTTTTTCAGAAGATGTTATATATTTTTTATACATGGTGTTGAACTGAATATAACCCAAAAGGTTCAGATATTACATTTCCTCCTATCGACAGAGCCTCCCTTTCATGGTAAGAAAGAACAATGAAACTTTTAAGTTTCACCCAATACAAGTGAACTTAACTAGTCTTAATATTCCAGAGTTTAAGGTCAGATTCACAACATCCAGGATCCAGCATGGTGATGCACACCTGTAATTCCAAGTAGTCCAGAGGGTGAGGCAGGAAGATTTTGAGTTCAAGGCTAGCTTGGGATGTAGAGTGAATTCAAGGCCAGTCTGGACTCTCCTTAGAGTTCAGCAGTATTGTGTGTTTGTCTGTGGAATGTTAATGTGTATTCTAGAAGAAAAGAATTCTTAAGAGACGTAACTTTAAGAAGTGTTGCTGAGCATGGTGGCGCATGCCTTTAATCCCAGCACACGGGAGGCAGAGGCAGGCGGATCTCTGTGAGTTCAAGACCAGCCTGGTCTACATAGTGAGTTCCAGGCCAGCTGGGGCTACAGGGAGATCCTGTCTCAAAAAGAACAAAAAAAAAAAAAAAAAAAAAAAAAAAAAAAAAAAAAACAGTGCTCACTCCTGTATTATGTCCTGTCTCAAAGTCCATTCCCAGAACAGATCAGTACACTGAGAGCTTTGATATGCATGTCAGTAACTGTGCACAAACAACAAAATAAAATATAAATACTTAGCTTTAACCCAGCATTTTCCAAACTTCTTTGGTCACTAAAATCTTTTCCTGAACGATTCCCATTTTTACAAACCAATAAATCCCTTCCTAGGTTTTGAAGCAATAGCATTAAGGGGTCTCTATACACTGCATTACTGTATTTGTTTAAAAAGTAGTTAGATATATTCCTGGTTGAAAGTAGTAAAGAATTTTAAAGTCACAAAAATATCTGTTTAAATATTCTAATAGATTATATAAAGATTGACTGGTTTACCTTGTCTTCCTGAAAACTTTAGACCACTTTCAAAAAACATTCTATATACAGGTATTTTTTGCATCCTATTTATAAAATTATATAAGCTTCTATTTTGAAATCCATGATTGTCCTAGTATTCTCAATGCAAAATGATTATTTATTCAAATACTAGCCTGCATACTTTGGGAAGTAAGGGTCAGAGTTTCCAACAAGACCACATGCTTCCTTAAGCATCTAAAAGATGAATGTTGGGGCAGCAGAGATGGCTCAGTGGTTAAGAGCACTGTCTGTTCTTCCAGAAGACCCAGGTTCAGTTCCCAGACCCACATGGCGACTACCATCCTTATCTCCAGTTCTAGGGGACCCGATGCCCTCTTCTGGCCTCTGCGGGAATTGCATGACATGGGTGCACTTAACAAACACTCATGGGTGTACTTACAAAAACTTGTGCAGGAAAAACCTTCATACATATAAATAAAAATTTGAAAAAATTTTTTTCTAAAAATTAATTAAAATATGAATGTTGCTACTTAGATGTTTTAGGGGATATTCAGTGCCTCTGAGCATAAGTACTACAAAACATATTTTGGAATTTACAAATTTGCACGAGTAAATATTAAATTATATAGTATTGGCAGTACCAATTCAATCTTGGGAAATGGCTGTAAAGTTCTGGAGATGATTATAAGAAAACTTAATAATATTAATTGATTCTTATTTGCTAATTTGAGTTTTTGATTCTTTTTTTCCTTTTCAAAAGTCAAAAAAAATTTTTTTGGTCTTTTTGAAACAGGGTCTCCCTGTAGCCCCAGCTGTCCTGGAACTCACCATGTAGACAAGGCTGGCCTTGAACTCACAAAGATCCGCCAGCCTCTGCCTCCTGAGTGCTGGTATTAAAGGCATGCGCCACCAAGCCCAGCTTTTTTTTTTAAATATTTTATTATTTTAATTTTATGTGTATGAGTTTATTGCCTGCATGTATGTGAGTGCACCCGTGTCGTGCAATGCTGTGGAGGTCAGAAGAGGGCTTCAGATTCCCCTGGAACTGGAGTTAAGGATGGTTTGTAGCCACCATGTAGGTGCTGGGAATTGAACCCAGGTCTTCTGCAAGAGCAGTCAGTGCTCTTAACCTCTGAGCCATCTCTCCAGCCCTGTTTTTCCTTTTTTAAAATAATCTTTGATGAATTTCCCAGCTGTCTAGAAAACTGTTTCTTTATGGTCATCAATCACCTCTGGCTCTTACAATCCTTTGGCCCCCTCTTCTACAATGGTCCCTGAGCCTTGGGTGGAGAGATTTGATAGAGGTGTCCTATTCAGGGATAGTTGTCTGCAGTCTCTTATTCTCTGCACTTTGGCCAATTGTAGCTTTCTTGGTTAATCTCCAGCTGTCGCACGAGGAAGCTTTGCTGGTGAGAGTTGACAGATACATTAATATTCTCTCTGCCCCCCATTCCATTATGTTCCATGAGCCTTAGGTGTGGAGGTTGCATTGTAGATGTGTCACTTGGGACTGGGCACCTCACAAACACTTATTCTCTGCATTTGACCAGTTGTGGAACTTTGTAATAGTATATGAGTACATGTGTATAGCTTAAGGCTATATACAAAAAACACAGTGCCAGGCAGGGGAACCCTTCCAGTGGTTGGTCAGTGTGGTTCAAGAGACTCCCAAAATAATACAGGCTATTGTCACAGCCCTTAATTGCCTCCCAGAACTTGAAGGTGAGACCCTATTTCTGAAGACAGGACATACTTTTGACACAGGACTCAGAGCAATCAAGCTGGAACTGACCTGGAAACCTCCTCCTTGATGATTACCTCCAAGAGTATCAGAAGATACTATGAAAAGTTCCAGGGAAGAAAACTAATCAATGATTCCATCCAACTATAAAATCTATGAACCACAACAATGACCAGCTCAGCAAATAGTCTCTACTGGTGAAGTAGTGGCACTTTTATTTTGGGAATAATCAACAACTGTCTAATTGGACTTAAGGCCCACTGAATAGGAGGGAACTCATGTGTGGTACTGTAAACATGACTAAAGAGGTCATAGATCCTAAAGAAAAACTTACTTTTGTCACATCCCTAGACCAGTGTAATTTCTTATGTATTCTAAATATGTATCTTTAGATACTTATCTTACAGTCAAGCGTACCTCTCACCGTTTGTCTAAGAAACTTCTTTTTGCAACAGATGGAATTTTTGCTTCTTAAATACAAAAGGGGAACTTCGGGGCTTTCTCTTTGGGGGTAGCTCTCAAATAGTCCCTAAAGATTTGTATGTCTATGTCCAAACAAGCAAAATAAATGAGTAACATCTGTCATTGATTTCAGTCATGAAATAAGAACTTGCAAACCACCTCCATCAAGGTTTGATTTTTAGCATCAACTAACCCCTAACCTACAATCACAAAAATTCTGGCTTAGAGTGTCATTCTTTAATCTATACCTTCATTTGAATTATCCATCTCTCACACCCTTTTATGGATCCCCCCCTTTTTTTGTCTAAACTCTTCAAGTTTAGCCTGCAGGTGCCAAGTCTTCTAAGGCTTATTCGACAGTTGAAAATGCTTGTGTAGTCTCTCCTCTTCTTTTTCAGATTGCTCTCTCCTCAGCTTACTTGGGATGAAGTCCTTTCCTCCTTGACTTTTTCCTCCTGTTTCTTGTTTCAGAGGAAGATGATGCTTCTCCGCCTAGTGCCTTGCCTCCAGGTTAGGACAATTCCTTTGCCCCGACTTTTAACTGATTAATTGACTGACTAGAAAAGAAAAGATGGGGTACCTTGCTGACTCCGGGCAGCAAGATGGAAAATGTTGGCTTTAATGATGATTTTCATGAGAAACTTTTTAAAAGAATGCTTTCCTAACCAGGGGTGGTGATACACACCTGAAATGCCCGAACTGAGGAGACTGAGGGATGAGGATCTCAGCTCAAGGCCAGCCTGAATTACACAGTTGAGACCTTGTCTTTAAGAAAAAAAAAGAAAAAAGAAAAATCTTTGACATAGATTTTCTTTGTCTTCCATTTTTATCTATGTATCTGTTTTCCCTGTTCCCTGTTCTTTCAATTTAGTTTCTTTCTTTTTTTTTTTTTTTTTTTTTTTTTTTTTTTTTTTTTTGGACAGGGTCTTTCTAGTCCCAGTACACCTGGAAGTCACTATGTGGACCAGGCTGGCCTTGATCTTCCAGAGATTCACCTGCCTCTGCCTCCCAAGGACTGGTATTAAAGGTGCAATTTAGATGTTTGGATTCTTTAATTGTATTACTGTTCTTAAAGAATACATACACTCATATGGCCCTCTATAATTGGAACTCTACTGATTTTCCATTCAAGCCACTTGTATTTGTTTTCTCTTCTATCACCAAAAGAGACAGGGTTTGAGGAGCTCCAAGAAGATTATAGTCAGCGTTTCCCTATTTCCTGCACCCCCTTTGTATCCTCCAAATCGTGCTTTTCTTTCAGGTTTGGGTAGTCGGGCCCTGGAGAGAAAAGATTCAGGTGAGCACACGCATCCAGACAAGGCATTCAAACCCCAACCTAATACGTTCACTAATGACTCATTTCTCAGAGCTGTATTGATTCTAATACATTCATTCAGTTTGTATGATTCAACTGTATTGATTCTAATCCATTCATTCAGTTTTATGGCAGTCTTTCATTACATTTCCTCGTATAAGAAAACTAATGTTTGTGAGAAACAATTTTGCATGACACAATGCATTCACTCAAGAATGTAGCCACATATGCTACAGACTTATTTATTAGATTATAATATCATTTTTAACATTTAGCAGATAAACAGAGCTTGATCTCCATTCCTGGGATGTATTGAAGTCATATTCACATTTGTGTATGATTTTAAACACACTTGTTAAAAACACTTCCAAACACACCCTATCAGCTACGTCTACAATGCTAAAGTTATTTGGTCATTCATTCATTCATTCATTCATTCAACAAATTTGTATTGTGGACTTTCATGTGATCCTGTTACTGGTGGCTTAGGGGTGCTTGCAGGTATAGAAGTGAACAAAATGATAAAAAATTGTATGCTCATTTTCTTTACATGAATGGCCATTACTCACTATTCTTATTAATACCATAGACATAACATATAATTTTAATATTAACTTTGGAACTAAGAATGTGTAATCAAGTGACTACTTTGCTTAACTTCATTGTGAAAATGGTCTCCTATGGGCCCAAGTACCTGGCACCAAGCATGATTCATACATAAAAACTAAAATGATTCAATGTGCACTTCCTCTTCATGAAACCTTAGCAAGCAGAGTGTTGGCGAACCATGCATTTTTCCCCCAGTTATTTAGTGCCTGGAACGGAACTTCTCCACACTAGCTCAGAGAGCAGGTCCAGCTCTTCCTCCTGCCTCCTGCCTTCCTCATTGGAACTGACTGCAGATCAATGTCGACCACACATCTGCATGCAGAGTAGAAAATGCAAAATAAGCTTCATTTTCGGCTTGTCTCTCTTCATGGGAAAACTTCAACCAGTTTCTTTTTCTCTTCATTTGTTTGCCTATGTTTCTTCCTTACAGAACAATCCTACTATTCTTTAAATTTGTACCTGTAGGTCATGATCCTGTTACTTGTCAAACTATGGCTGCTTCTGTACAATCCTAATGGAATTTCCTACAGAGCACAGCAAAGAATCTAGAAGCTCCAAGGCCAAGCTTGGCTCTCTGACCCTTGACAGGCCGTTTGCCCTGGAACTGGCCCAGCCCTTGTTTCTCCCGGTTCTGTTGTATAGATGTGGCCTTGTAGTCAGTCACCTGGAAAGACACTTGGGTTGCTGCATGAATTTCATAGTGCCCTTGTTTATTATCTGCTGGGGAACAGGCAGGACAGCAGACAAAGACAGTTAACAATTTACCTGACAAGTCTGACTATTTCCAGGAGTTAGAAAATGTTCCTTTGTCTGGCTGTGAGAGATATCCCTGTAAGAACTGAAATTTGTCCCTCTCTACTGACAGCTGCTGGGGGCCAGAGAATGCTGTTGTTTTTATCTAGGTTTATTAAACAAGGAAAAGAATCAGTAAGGAGAAGAACAAACCCAGGTAAGTCCTCCCATGGAAAAGCTGGTCCTGAAATGAACCCTGTCCTCCTTCTCACTTCCAGAATGGTCTCTTGGTGAGTCACCTGCCGGCGGAGAGGAGCAAGATAAACAGAATGCCAACTCTCAGATGTCTACCCTGCTTGTCGAAAAACCTCAAACAGGTTCAGTGAAAGTTGGTGAGTACCCAGAATTAAATCCCCCCCTTTCCCTTTCTTATTGGAAAGTCACAGATCTCAAAATTAACCATTTTAAAATGAAATTTTAAGTAGCTCTGAGAACATTCATGATATACAACCATCACATCCCTGTCACTATGAAGTATTTTCATCACCACGAAAATGATCTTATCTTATAACCCATTAAGTAGTTATTCTATCACTCCCCTCTCCAGGTACTGATACTAATCTACTTTGTTTCTATGGATTGACCTATTCTGAGTATTTTATAAATATGGCATAATTATATAACATGTGACTTTTATATCTGGACTCCTTTCCTTAGCATAATGATATTTTTAAAATCCAATCTTGTTGTAGCATCAATATTACTTTTTATGATTGAATAATACTCTCTCGTACACATATACTAAACCTTGTATTTTATAGCCCCAAAAGGTGAATGATAGTTGTTAGTTCAGTAATTGTTAACATTTAGGAGTCCAGTGTTTGGACCCTAGAGCCAATTCAGTTTAGTATAAAATCTTGGTTCTGTTTCTTTCTAGAAGGACAGAGCATTTAGCTTCATTAATGCCTCAGTTTCCTGATGTGTAAAATGGGGATAAATAATGTCTGCCTGCAGTGTACGCTGAGCCTACTGCCTGCTGTCATTATGACATGACTCTCCCTAGAAGGTGGCTATAATGGACACAATCTCTGCATGTATGAGATAAAATGAATAATGTGTCTCAAGGGAAGCTAGTCAAACAGATGGCACAGCTTTGGAAATATCTATTCAAAATATTAATTATATACTTCCTGCTTATGCTGAACACAGTGCAACACGCGAGCCCTCAGAAATTACCATCTAAAGAGGAACAAAGAAGAGAAGTTAATCGAATTGATAACCACAAGCCACATGCCATGAAGGAAACAGTGCTAAGGCTGAGAACTTAGGAGCTCCAGACTTCAGAACTTAGCAAGTTCTCATAAGGATGCGCTTATGATCAGAATCAGACTTGGATACTGGCCAGATATGCAAATGATCTCATGGCTAATTATGTCACAGAATTCTTCCAGGCCTGGTGTGCAGGCCTGTGTGCAGGCTTGGTGTGCAGGCCTGTGTGCAAGCATAAATATTGGCTCCTTGTGTGTTCCTGTAAGACAGTGCAATGCTGAGCTGGTGGCCAGGTTGGTCCTGACATCCCCAGGGTCTGATCATTCACTGCATAGTCTCTTCAAACAGATCAATTTAATTTAATCTTACAATTACAGGCTTCCATTCAACATGAATAATAAAAGATGCAAAGATCCATACTTTTTAAAAACATTTTTATTCCACACTTATATAAACCCACATATAAAAGATGCATTCCACTGGAGCTGGAGAGATGACTCAGCAGTTAACAGCACTGGCTTCTCTTTCACAGGACCTGGGTTCAGTTCCCAGCACCCACACGGCAGCTCACAACCATCGTTAACTCCAGTTCCAGGGGATCTGATACCATTTTCTGGCTTCTTTCAGCATTCTATTCATGTGGTACATTTACATACATGCAGGCAAAACACTCATACACATAAAATATAAAATAAAAATTAAACCGTGTGTGGTGGCACTCGCCTTTAATCCCAGCACTCAGAAGGCAGAGGCTGGTGGATCTCTGTGAGTTCGAGGCCAGCCTGGTCTACATAGAGAGTTCCAGGCCAGCTGGGGCTACAGGGAGACCCTGTCTCATAAAGACCAAAAACATAAAAAATAATTTTAAAAAATTAAAATTAAAAATTAAATAAATACTCTTTAAAAAGATTCTTTCTGCCAATTCCCTCATTGTTCTTTTTCTGCCTCAGAAACTTTCAAATGTACTAGGGATGTGGCTCTGTGTTAGAGCACTTGTTTAGCATTTACAAGGCCCTGGGTTCAATTCTCAGAACTATTAATCAAGTACTTAAAATTTTTTATATTTCCAAAGCAGAACAACACGGACTTTCCTAAGACCCTAAAAGTATTCATCAAAAAGCAGGGCTACTTTAATCCAAGCACTTGGGAGCAGAAGCAGATAGATTTCTATGAGATTGAAGATAGCCTGCTCTACATAGCAAGTTCCAGGCTAGCTGTGGCTACAGGGAGACCCTGTCTCAAAAAAACAAAACAAAACAAAACAAAAAACCAAAACTGGGACTAATTCATTGTGCAGTTCTGAAAATGTAAATCATGGTCTATACAGTGCATATCATAGTTGAAAGTAAGACAATGTTTTTAAACTGCAGGCTAAATCCTTTGTGCTTTTTTCTAGGGGAAAACATCACCTTTATAGCCAAAGTCAAGGCTGAAGATCTTCTTAGAAAACCCACTATCAAATGGTTCAAAGGGAAATGGATGGATCTGGCCAGCAAAGCTGGAAAGCATCTCCAGCTGAAGGAAACCTTCGAGAGGCACTCTCGGGTATTGACCCCTCCCCCGCAGTTTATTCCTTTGGAGGGTTAGAAAGTTATTTCAGGTTGTTGCATGGCTTTTTGAGGGAGTATATTTCTGAGGACCCCAGTTAGATAAGACAGTGACAGACCAAAGCAAAGATTCCATCTAGTCCAGCTTGGCGAACCAATGAGTTTCTTTACATGAGCTAACCCGTGGGGACAGGGGTTAGGAGTTACCTATAGGGGCATGAGTGCCCCGGAGAGCTACATCCAAAAGCCTCACCCCCCTTGGAGATGATTCATGAAAGCTGTATCACTAGAGAACCCTGCAGAACTTACTGAGAACCTCCACTCATTCAGTGACTGTTTACTGCTTAGGTAACTTCAGGGAGGGGTCTTGTGAGCCTGTGGGTTTTGTAAGCTTAGGACTCTCCTCTTCCCTCTACAAGGGAGTGTTGAGAGATCTCATCCTGTATTGGTCTCATGCAGGTGATTCACAGCTGCTTTGATTCAAAATGACAATGATCATGCCTAACCTGGTGGAAATAGCAACACAACTTTAGTTTTGACAGATTTCCAGAAAATTCAGAATCCCAGAAAAACTTCTGGACTATGATCTTGCTATGTCCAGGAGCTATGAGTCCTAATCACCCTCCCAGATCAAAGCTGCTGTACTAGACGCAGACGCAGTCCCTTCTTTACACCAATGCTGAGCAATTTGTTACATAACTAAAAGGTGAGAGCCTCTCTCTGTTGGCAAGGTGGGTCTACAGAATGCTTTTTGTTGCAGATATACACATTTGAGATGCAGATCATCAAGGCCAAAGAGAACTATGCAGGAAACTACAGATGTGAGGTCACCTACAAGGATAAGTTTGACAGTTGTTCATTTGATCTTGAAGTGCATGGTAAGAAAGCCATCTTTCCTGGGTAAATGTGATTTTTTTTAAGTTTTTTTGGATTTATTTTTATTTTCTGTATGAGTGTTACTCCTGCATGTATGTAAGTGCACCTGTGTCATACAATGCCGGCAGAGGACAGAAGAGAGGGTCAGATCCCCTGGGAGTGGAGTTATAGATGGTTGTTAGCCATCATGTGGATGCTAGGATTTGAACCCAGGTCCAGTGCTCTTAACTGCTGAGCCATCTCTCCAGCCCCCAAATGTCCTGTATCCCTTCCAGAGCTAGTTAACCAGGAGCAAAAAGACTCCATAAACCATACTCTACCCAACTTGAGTATATGGGTGAAGGGAGTCAGGCATACACGGCTCAGTGCAAAGAGGGGAAAGGCATAGAAGAATGAAAAGTCCTTTTCCTGTCCCCAAAAAGCATTTGGACAGAGTAGAAACTATGAGAAGGTAAACTTTGTCTTCACATTAGGATGAACTCTTCCACTAAAGTATGTAGACACGTTAGGTGTGGTGGTGGATATCTGGACCACTCAGGAGAGGAGGCAGAGACAGGAAGATTGCTGCAAGTCTGAGGCCAACCTGGTTTACAGACTGAGTTCCAGGCCAGACAGAGATATAATAAAACCTTGTCGCTAAAAGAAAACGTAAAGACGAGAACTAAAGAAACAAAGAAAGAAAAGAAAAAAACATTAAATCTATGCAGACAACATTCTTAGAGATGCCAAGCAGATGCAGAAAGGTCATGGGTCCAAGTGTAGCAACTCTGGTACATGACAGTCCTGCTTCCCCCCGACCAGGCATCTCTGAGTCCTCTGGTGAACCTTTTTAGAGACTTGAGTTTTGGGCTTCCCTACCTGACCTAGTGGATCAAAATCTCCAAAAGGGAAGATCAAGTGGCTGCATTTTTAAGTTCTTTGTGAGATTCTGGTGGGCAGACAGGTGGGATGACAACTCGCCAAGGCAGCTTTTGAAGTCTGTCTGTTGATTCATCATGGAGAGGGTGAGGGATGATGATGATGACCACCCAGGGGGTCAGCTATCCCCCTTCACCAAATTCTCTTCCATCTGCCAAATCGCATAACCCATGAAATATCTGAATACAAAATTACCTTCTTAATAGTTACTCATTTTATTTTCCTTTTCTCTTCCCAAAGAATCTACTGGGACAACTCCAAACATTGACATCAGATCTGCCTTCAAGAGAAGGTAACTTCAAAGGGGGGATCCAAATAGCTTTTGTAAACTGCAGAGGTGGAATTTTCAAAAAATACCTCCCTCCCTCCACACTCTGTATTCAGTACAGTCAGACATAAAATGTATTTAAAAGTTGATGTTCTGGAACAGACATGAGTTTAATGCCCACCCAAGCATATACTGATCATTTCTAAGGGTATTCTTGTGGTGAAGCTTTCCTTTTTATAAATCTCACACTTGCCTTAGATTATACATCTATTCACAAGTGGCTCCTTCCTCAATTACATTGTTTCTACCAAGTGGCAGAGGAAAGACACAGAGAGATGCTTTTCATATAGCACCAGCAACGCAGTATCTGAAAACTTTTATTTATATATCCTTTCATCCAGAAATTCTTTATGGAGCTACTAAACTATGTGCCCTCCCCCACCAAAGCACAATTGAAAAGCTACTGACTAAAGTTAGTCCCATGTACTACTGGATTGTCCGAAACAAATGACCATGGAATCAGCTAGCATTAAGAACACTGTAGAAAGGAAACATTTAGATACTCATTTAATTTATTTTTGCAACTGCTGAGGCTGAGAAACAGGAGGTGAAAGAAAGATGATTTTTTTCCCTAGTTCTAAGAAATTCAACTAGCCTCTCCTTGTCCTTACATTATTCTCTGCCACTAAAGATGCCATAATATAAATTCTTCAGTGAGCTCAAATGTTTTGTTCTTCCTAAGAATGAATCCACAAGTCATTTTGTTGAATAAGGAAAGTTTCCCCAAATTATAAAATATCCCACTATTATGAAATGTCACCCCATTATCATAAAGCAATGATTTAGTCTGTTAATAAGACACATTTACTGTCTAAATTATCAATAAAGAAAATGTTTAATTACTTTTGAAAAATACTGAATATTACCTAATTGGTAAAAGCTATTTTAAGCTTGAAAAAAAAAATGCAAACTTTCAAATTGTATTTCTGTCTTTCTCCTTTCTTCCTTCACCTCATACTTAGTCATGCATAGACCTAAACTTACGCTCATGGCACAGGCTGGTATATTTTAGGTGAAGGAGATACAAACTACTGTTTTGTGCTTTGAAAGAATAGAAATGTGTTTACTTCAAAAACTCCCTAAACATCTGCTAACAGAAAATTTGAAAGCACATGCTTAAGTTTAGTTCTTATGACTTACATGTTATACACACTGTTTTTAAACCCACAGACTCTTTTCTTAGAAACTATAGCTAACATTTGTAAAGAGCAGGAAACAAAATCTTCATTAAAAATTAGACATGTAAGTAACTACGTAGTACCATTTAAATGTCAGCTCCTAGCTTCAATTTAGAGTTAATATGAAGTCAAGACAGTGGCTGCATGCTAATTTAAGATGCATTTCTCTACAGGAAAGCTCCTTAAAAGATTACTAGTGAAGAGTTCACTAGTAACTCAAAAGAGGAATTTTTTTGAAAAATATCATTTAAAAGGTATTTAACAGAAAACTCAAATGATTATAATATAAAGAATAATCTCTTTGAAACAGAAAGAAATGCATCTTTTAAGAAGCTCCACAGTACCTCCATCTCATGCCTTGTTGGTACCACAGTATCTGATTCATCTATTCATGGACATAGTGGTTACCTTTGGATATAAGGCTCAAGTCTTATATGTCTGACATCGGAACACTTTGTCCTTCAAGCCAATCTCTGTCTTACACAAACAACAGAGATCAGCAAAAGTCCTTTGCTTTTTACACAGGTTTGTTTCTAGAGCTCCCAACTTGAAAAAACAAAGTACTTTGTGTTGCTTGGCTTAAGTGCATTTGTGTTACCTGGTCATAACACAAATCCAAGCAGTTTCATATATGCAATCTACAAAATGTGTCTTCTGAAATCATATGGTAACACAAGCTCCTCATGTTTACTTTTCCGCAAGTACACACTCCAGAATTTTAGAATGTCACTTGTGTGAAAAGAAATAGTTTGTGTTGATTTAGTCTTTGTGTGCCAGTACAAAATTGCATATACATTATATGTAGAGTGTTTGGGGGAATTGCTGTGTATGTGTCGCCATTAAACCCAGATTTGCTTTTCTTTTGTTAATGACAGTGGAGAAGGTCAAGAGGATGCAGGGGAACTTGACTTTAGTGGTCTCCTGAAACGTAGGTGAGAACCAAGTGATGGAGTGGGGCACTGTGGCCTGGAAATCTTTTAGACCCACCCAGAGAAGTCAAGTTTAAACTGAATGTCTTTCAAAGAATTTCCACTTCTTAAAATGTGTTCTGCTTGTAGACCATAACAATCGACTAAGAAAGAGAGAAACAACTACGTACTAATTTGTGAAAGATGGTAGCTGATGCTTCTTTCTTCTAATGTGTTTTATGAGTTTTCGCCTATTTTCTTAGTTGGGGATGGGGAGATTTGAAAACTGAGACATAAGATTTAAATGCCTAAAAACCTCTAAGACAACAGGTGATTTTTGATATTTGGCTGAAAACACTGATTGCACAATTCTGGCACCAGTCTCTGCAATAGACAGGTACACGTCAATATATTATTTATGGCTCAAATTTAGGACATTGATTTTTTATTATGCAATAATGATGAAAATTTTTTTCTAAATATTTTACTATGACAGTGTTGAGTATGAGATACATTCTTGTTCCAGAGATGATTAAAATGCACATTTTAGAATAAAACATGGTAGTAAAACAGAAATAAATATTTAATACTATCACTCACACTCCCTTGACAGTGTTCTTTCTTGTAATACATGTGTAGAAAATCAATATGGACATTTAGCATATAACCATGTTATAGGATTTCTGTGCATAAATGTACATCTACATAAAATCATATAAAATATTATGTGTTATTTGCAATTATACATATATTTTCTAGACATTTACTACAGTGAAACAAAAGAGTTTAATATTAGCAGGGATTGCATTTTGTCCAGCAATTTGTGAATAAACAGTAAACCTACTATTCTTAACAATTTTTCATTTTGGCATTAGTTTTCATTTAGCTTTAAAAATTTATTTAACAATTACTTGTAGTGCTTTCTCTGGGTATTAAAGGAACATAAATACAAATACACTTCAGAAATTGTGAATACTTGAAATAAACCGGGCTTATGTTCATTTTCGGCTAGTTAAATGGCTTTTTTCTTTTTCTTTTTCTTCTTTAGTCTTTTTATTTATTTATTTATTTTTTGAGACAGGTTCTCCCTGTAGCCCCAGCTGGCCTGGAACTCACTGTGTAGACCAGGCTGGCCTTGAACTCTCAGAGATTTACCTGCCTCTGCCTCCCGAATGCTGGGATTAAAGGCATGCGCCACCACGCCAGGCTTGAATGGCTTTTTTCAAGTTAATGGAACAAAAATTTTAACCTAACCTTCAATATTAAGGTTGAAAACAAAAGTATTGATATGTGTGATTTATTCATTACTGACAAACATTAATTAATATGAATGGCAATATTAGATACAAGTTTTTGATATCTTAAGTAATCATTACTTTAAATAATATTTGTTCATTTCCAAAATACATTTAAAGCAACAGTAAGTGAGGTGTCTTAAAGGGAGCCTCCTTCCGCCTCATTCTACAGGCAAGAAACCAAGATCCTAAGATACTAAGTGACTTATGCCAAGTCACACAGGAATCTGAGGTAGGGCAGAGACCCAAATCCAAGTTTCTTTTTACAATTTTCTGGGTCAACACAGAAAAAAAGTGACTTCATGTTAAAAACAGAGCTCTGAATCTGCCCTTAGATGCCAATGCTTCTGTTTACAATGTGCATGGATACTTAGGAAGACAACAGAGCTTTTCTTCCCCCTTGCAAATGTTACTCAACTGGGAAAATATCAAATGCTTTCTCTGTGTAGAATATAAAACTAGGTGATGTGAGAAAAAGAAGCCCGGAGCCTAGTCTATAGAAAAGGGATAAATATTTGCATGGGGTGGTAGTGGCAAAAATATGTCTAAATCTCAACTCTGAGAAGTAAAACTTGGTAGTAAAATGGAAATAGATGTTTACTATGATTGCTCATACTCTCTTGACAGTGTAAAATTTCATTATGTGAGTTTGGTCCAAATATATGTTCTTTCTGAGATGTGTTTTCCACATCTATGTGAAGAGTAGCTAGGTAATAGAGTTGTGAAAACTAAATTAAATATGAAATGTCTGGATCACAGAACATAGCACAAACCATGCATTTCCTCAAAAATGTTCCATGTTCCATCAATGAGTTTATCTTCATACGAAGACAACAACCAGTCCTCCACCACATACACACACGAGCTCAGAATGTGATACAGTAGACTGTGCTACACTCTGATCAAAGAAGGAAAAAGAACAGACTATTTGTACAACAGTTTATAGGGAAAAAGAAATCTAATTATATAGTCAAGTGACTAGGGGGAAAAATCATTAGAAAAAATGTGCAGCCATTGTGTCTCGAGTTCTCATTTTCTTTACATCCCTCAATTAAGGATTAGATTGTTAGACTGCTAACAGAAGACTATGTTTATTTAATATACTGTACTAATCCACCATTATAACTTTAAAAGTCATGTGTTTTCCTATTAATTTGTGGAGTGCATGTGTTTTCCTCGTGGTAACGACAAATGGTTACCATTTCTACTTCTCCAAGACTGTGTGGCAAAATCTCCATCTGGATAAATATCATTAGAACCAAAAAGCTGTGTACAAAAAAAATCTCCCATGCACATTAAAGCTGGCTTGTTCCACATATGCATTAGATGAATCAAGGCAAATCTTTTGGGCAGTATTATATTATGGGATTAGACCTTTATAAGCACTTGGGAATCTTATTCTACATAAAATTTCTATAAATATTTTATAGTTCACTTGGACCATCAATTTATAGAAAATTTGATGTAGATAAAGGCACTGTGGACATTATAAGGTCTACCCCAAAGATGGAAGGGAATCCAGGATCTGGATTTCTCTCCTCACTGTCACATCACAGAACCATGCAGACAGGGTCACGTACCACCACCATGGTAAGTAAAGGTGTGTTCTAGGTGAATTACAGGCTGCTACAGGTGAGACCTTTGACCTCACAAAATGAATGCTTCTGTTTGAAATTTAGGAAATGATAAAGTGATAGGAAAGGACGAGACAAGATCAGTGTTCATATATGAACATTGATAAGGAATGCAGTGGAGGGGCAGGTATCCTAGCATTCTAATGAAAAAGGCTGAGGATGGCTGGTTGTATGAACTTACTCAAGAAAATGGTGAACATTTTAACTGGCTTCCTCTGTGTAAATAGTCACTTCATGAACCTAGTGTGTGTTTGATTTGAATCTCTTGCTAGCTATTTAAATACATCAAGGCTGTAGATGTGGTTCACTTGGCAGAGTGCTTGCTTAGCATGCCCAAGACCCTGAGTTCCACCCTCAACACCACAAAAACTAGATAGAGTGGTGCGCACCTATAATTCCAGGACCCAGGAAATGGGGGATCAGAAGTTTAGGGTTATCATTGGCTACAGAGTGAGATCAAGGCCAGCCTGGGCTACATGAAACCTCCTTGAAAGAAAACTGAAAATACAATTATATAAACTCTGATATCTTTAAATCTTTCCACCAAACCTGAGTGATATCTGAACTATATATGACATAATCCTTCTTGACTGAAATATCAAATTTAGCCTGGCATGATGGCAGGTGCTTTTAACTGCTGAACCATCTTTTGAGCACCCCAATTTAAAATAATTTAAATATAGACTGTCTTCAGTGTATAGATGTAGTGGATATGACAAATTATTACCAAAATATTCCAATTTCAGGATAATTTTCTTAAGTTTTAAAAAATTTTATGTGTATAAGTGTTTTGCCTGCATGTGTGTGAATGCATTTGTGTTATGCAATGCCCACAGAGTCAGAAGAGGGTGATGGATTCCCCTGGAACTGTTGTTACAGACAGTTGTTAGCCACCATGTGGGTGTTGGGAATTGAACCTGGGTCCACTGCAAGAGCAGCAGGTGCTCTTAACCACTGAGCAATCTCTCTAGCCCCCTTCTTAAGTTTTTAATTTCCACATGTTAATACAAGGATGTTTTCATTTCAGTGAGATGAAGAAAATGCTTGTATATCAAGTTTCTGTGAGGCAGTTTTTTTTTCTTCTAAAAGATTGTGTGTGTGTGTGTGTGTGTGTGTGTGTGTGTTTAATCATGTGTATGTGTGTGGGGGTATGTGCACATGAATGTGGTTGCCTGAGGAAGTCAGAAGAGAGCATCAGATCTCTGGAAGCTGGAGTTATAGGCAGTTGTGAGTTGCTCAGTGTAAGTGCTGAAAGCTAAACTCAGGTCCTCTGCAAGAGCAGTATGTACTCTTAGCCACTGACTCTAGGCACATCTATCCAGTCTCTAGGCACATTTTTCCAGATTAGCCTCGTTTTCCCCATTGGGCAAAAAGACATGACAATTAATGACATGATGGAAATTAGACATTTAGAAGATATGCTCACCCAAATCCACCCTAAGCTGCGTGTTGCTATTTCCCTCTCAAAGAACATACAAATTTAAAAAAGAAACTCCGACACGGGTATAATTAATGTGACAAAGCAATGTAACCCATCATTTACATCATCATTATACATTTTCACATTGATGTATAAGACAAATTGACCAGTTTTCCATAAAGTTGTATCCAAACCAGCATTATTTACAGTAAGTAGCCAGTGCAACTTTTTCAAATTAGCCTGATAAAAATAGTTAATTAAACTTAAACAAAAATATGGCTATTTAGTCAAGGAAGAAAAACAATCACCTAAGAAAATTAAATTATATCCTGCATTTATACTAAGCTTCCCTAAAGTGTTTATTTATGGGTTTTAGTTTCATTTTGTAGTTTTGAAATAAGAGAGGAAAGTGTATTTTAACTTTTGTAGGCAGTATAGTCATATAAAGTCTTTAGGTATTCGATGCATTCTTAGGTCAGTGGTCACAATTTGGGAATGTTGTTACTTTCCCCTCGTTCATGAATCTTAAGCCATCTGTCTTATAGTTTAATCTTAATATGCCAATCTTGCTTTTAGAAAAAACATAAAACATTCAAGATGGTTTATTACAATAAAATATAAAAGAATTTTCTTGCCTCATTTTTTTTCATCTACTAATTCAGAAAAACAATTTTCTTTTTAAAAAGCATCTTTATCCATAAAGATATGAAGACCAAATTAAAAAACCTCAGGATGGTTTCTGTTTTTAATCTAAAAATAATTAGCATACATAATTATTAATGTGACAGAAAAAGAATGTTATTGGCAAAATCCAAAGTTTGAAATACCTTAAATTATAGGAACATCAATAAATATAGACAGAAGCTTTTTCCCCCCTCATAGGCCAATCTTTAAATCTTTTAGTTCTTAATCCACTTTTCAAAATCAATTGAATTCCCACACATTAGGTGAAAACTGTAAACTGTTTTTAAGTTTCTGAAAAATCTTGCCTTCAGTTGCTTCTCAGCCTTTTGGGAAAGATCAAGGGCAGTTCATTAAAATTTAAAGTTGAGCCGAGCGTGGTGGCACACGCCTTTAATCCCAGCACTTGGGAGGCAGAGGCAGGTGATCTTTGTGAGTTCGAGGCCAGCCTGGTCTACATGGTGAGTTCCAGGACAGCTGGGACTTGGGACTACAAGGAGACCTTGTCTCAAAAAGACCAAAAAAAAAAAGAAAAAAGTTTAAAATTTAAAAAAGACTAAAAAAGATTTTTTTAATTTAAAGTTGAAAAGATAAAAGATAATATTTTCAGTCTATGTCCTGACAGTCTCTGTTCCCTCTACAATTAAGTTTTTAACTAGAAAACTAAAGTGAATATAAGTGTGGCTATTTTTTTCTACTAACTTGAAGTTTCCCACTTCAAGCAAATCAGGTCGATTTATTTGGTGGCTTTAAACAGAACTTTTAGCACCGATCAAAGTCGGGATCAAACCCGGCATGCCTGCTCTTAGAGGGCCAGAACAGCTACTAACCTAGGCGTCGGTTCTCCTGGCCAGGGAGGTGAAGCAGCAGGAGGAGGAGCCCGAGATTGACGTGTGGGAGCTGCTGAAGAACGCCAACCCCAATGAGTACGAGAAGATCGCTTTCCAGTACGGCATCACTGACCTGCGTGGGATGCTCAAGCGGCTCAAACGCATGCGCAGGGTGGAGAAGAAGAGCGCAGGTGAGCCCGCCCTTAGGGGTGTGTGTGCGGCCTTGCGTCTCATCCTGTTTCTTGCTGAGTTCGGGGTGAGGCCCATCGGGCGTGCAGCGGGTCACGGTTCCTGGGTTAACTTTAGCTTCAGGGTATCATGCTGTGCTTGGCTCCTCGCGGCTTAAGTTAACAGATTTATGGTACCACAGACAGCACACAAGGAGGCAGAGAATGCCCCTGTGGCTGCTAGACCCTTCTTGGAGGACTCCTAACCAGCTCCGAATCTTCACGCTAACTCTTGATTCCTACTCAGGCAGAGGTAGTGTCTCTGTTTTCCCACTATATTCTTCCACCTCTTTGACTGGACCTGGGGAGTTCATCTCTCACACCTAGTAAGGCTCTCCAAGGTGGGTACAGCTTACTGTGGTTAGAAACCCCCCCAAAGCAGAAAAGAGCGAGCGGGCGCCAACATTTCAAATTGGTCATTAGCTCTTCAATGTTTACTGTGTTCGATCATTGTCAAAGTTCAGGTTTATAAGACGGCAGGGAGATCCCAATCCCATTGTTACTGTTTTTCTTAATGTTCAAATAGAATTTAAAGACTCTCCTTGTGACTTTTTAGAAATTTGGCATTTATTTCTAAATTTTCCTGTAAATTGGTTGAGAAATGGCCCCAGAGAAATCTAGGAGTGTTGTTCCATTTGGCTTGCATAACTCAGCCTTCCCGAGATCTCAGAACTCCATGTCTAGAGAGGTGACTGGGTTTGCATAGTCACAAACATATGACTACTGAAGTGGACAGACAATTGATGTCCCTTTTCCCAGGCTTGGCCTTTCTTTCTTAACACTTAGTTCTGAATTCATGCCTTCAGGTATATGATAATTAACTAGTTTAAAAAGTAATATTCCAGGGCATAAACCCACACGGAAGGCATTTGAAGATACAAACTAGACTCTATATAATAAACATTTTAGAGTACAGAAATTTGGTGGGGGGTTAGGAAGGGGGACTGTAGATACAAGAGGGGATCAAAATATGTTCAAAATATATTGTATGAAATTCACAAAAATAAATTTTAAAAGCCAATATGTATGTTTATCTTTTTAAAATAAGAAAAAGTGAGCTTAGGCTGGTGAGATGGCTCCGTGGATAAAGGTGATTCTGCCAGTCCTAATGACCTGAGTTTGATCCCCAGAATCCATATTATAGAAGGAAAGAATAGATTCTCAAAAGTTGTCCTCTGGCCTCCACAGGCATGCCATGGCACACAGGAGCACACACACACACACACACACACACACACACACACACAGAATAAACAAATGAAATTTTTCTTAAAAGTTAGGAACATTTAGTAGTAGTACTAGTTTTCTCTTATGCTTCTTTTAAGAACAAGGGAATTCTATTTAAATTTGTAAACTATCTTGTCTATAATTCAACACAATTCTAAAATAAAAAGGAGAATTTGGAAGAGTCACAGTTTTGTTCTTCTGTGAGATTCATCTCTTCCCTTGTTCTTAGACACACATATATTGATTATTTAAATTTGTGGCATATATGCACACTTACTAACATATTTTTCCTTCTATCTACCAGCTTTTGCAAAAATTCTTGATCCTGCCTATCAGGTTGATAAAGGAGGCAGAGTAAGATTTGTTGTGGAGCTGGCAGACCCCAAACTGGAAGTGAAATGGTACAAAAATGGTCAAGAAATTCGACCCAGCACAAAGTAAGTGGGCTTTGAAGGGATCAATAAAAAGTAGAAATAAACAGTAGTTTGATTTAATTTTCATAGAATAAAAAGACTTTTGACATTTTTAAGATATATATTCATAATGCAAAACTGCATGAAGGGAGAGACGAAGTTTAAGTCACTTTTCATGTATTTGGGAACTATTAAAATCATAGTGCGATATAAAATAAACCTTGTTTTATGTTTTTGTCAAGCTATATTGTGAGTCACAACTATTATTTTGTGTCACAGCATGTTATATGTAGTTATTTCAGAACATCACCAAGCTCTCAATTTTTAAAAATAAAATTTAGGAATATTTGAAATAAACATTTGATATGCTAGCACATCTCATAGTTAGATTTTTGGTTTTGGCTTGGTTTTGCCAAAATAGCATCAATATTTGACGATGGCTGAATATGTTCTACATCAACTTGGGCACTGTTTGGAGCACTCATAGTACTGCATCTGAACAGAACTGTCTAACACTGAGATCTAATGAGATGTGGCTCTAAGCCCATGTTTCATTATTTCTTGACCCTCTTCCAAAGAAAGGAGTCAAACTAATCCTTGATGTCTGATGGTATCGCTAGTCTATTATGAAACTACTTTACAGAGATCCTCCTCAGCTTGAGAGATTTTCAACTCCAATATATTTTTTTAAGTTAATAAGAGTTACATGTACACTAACAAAAGACTTTAATCCTAGAAACCTGTCACTTGCAGAGTACAGTGAAGTGGTTTCCAGTTTTACAGTGTGGTTATACCGACAGGAATATTTATACCTGGTACAAAAGTCTCTTGAATGGCCTGGATTTTACCAAAACATATATATTTTGAGACTGGGTCTCCCTGTAGCCTCAGCTGGCCTGGAACTCACTATGTAGATCAGGCTGGCCTCAATCTCACAGAGATTGCAGGTTTCATAGGCTCCAGGCTTTAAATTTTTATTTATTTATTTATTTATTTATTTATTTATTTATTTATTTATTTATTATGTGAGTGTTTTGCTTGAATGTGTACAAATGCACAGTGAGTATGCAATCCCCTCAGAGGCCAGAAGAAGGTGTCTGATCCTTTGGAACTGTAGTTACAGATGCCTAGTGGGTGCTGGGGTATGAAGCCTGGTCTCTCTGCAAAAGCAGCCAATGTTCTTAACTGCTGAGCCATCTCTCCAGCACCTGGAATGTTTTCTTAATAGATGATAACTATAATATAATATCACCAATTTTTAAGCTCACTTACAAGGCTGCCTAATTGCTGCTTGTCTTATCAATAAAGATCATTTATTGCTTAAATTGCACAATCATTCATCAACATTTCCCATTTCCAAGTGCTAGACATGAATGGAACATGAGAGTGAATGGAATAGACAAGATCAAGTCTCTGAATACATTAATTGGTTTTATTAAAAATATATTTTATTATTTTTTATTTTATGTGGCTGAGTGTATTGCCTGCATGTATGTAAATGTACCTGTGTTGTGCAATGCCCTCAGAGGCCAGAAGAGGGAATCTGATCTCCTGGAACTGGAGTTATGGATGGTTGTTAGCCAATATGTGAGTGCTGGGAATTGAACCCAGGCCTTCTGCAAGAACAGCCAGTGCTCTTAGCCTCTGAGCCATCTCTCCATCCCCCATTAATTGCTTTTTTATACTTTTTTTGTCTTTTTTTTTTGAGACAGGGTCTCTCTGTAGCCCCAGCTGTCCTGGAACTCACTATGTAGACCAGGCTGGCCTTGAACTCACAGAGATCTGCCTGCCTCTGCCTCCCGAGTGCTGGGATTAAGGGTGTGCGCCACCACACTCGGCCAATTGCTTTTTTAAATAATATGCAGAACTTAAACTCCCTCTGACACACTCAACCAACCCTATGTGAGAACTGGTTTATATAAAACAAGAACCAGATGTGGTGACACATGACATTAATCCCAGCCCCCTGGAGGCAGAGGCAGTCAGATTTCTGTGAACCTGGTCTACATAGTGAGTTCTGAGCAAGCTGGAAGTACAGGGAGACCTGGTCTCAAAAAAACAACAAAAAAATTATGTATGAATAAAATAATAACAAAAATTAAATAGCACATTTAAATATACATACTTGTTATATATCATAAAAATAAAAACTACTTTTTATTTAAATAATTAGTCAAATTATGTAAAGTATGCTATATAGCGTCAAAGATCAAAGCTATATTTCTGACTTTTTAAGTATTACCAAATTATAAGCCAAATTTGTTCATAAAAAAGAACAAAATCAAGTTCTCAGACTCTGTTTTTCTTCCTCTTGCTTAAAACAGATACATCTTTGAACACAAAGGATGTGAAAGAATCATGTTTATCAATAACTGTTCACTGACAGATGATTCAGAGTATTATGTGACAGCTGGTGATGAGAAATGTTCTACTGAGCTCTTTGTAAGAGGTAAAAAGCATCTCGCATCATCATGGGGCAAGTGCCCTCTTCCCAGGGACAACCATCCAAGTGAAAGGCAAGGTGACCTCCAGCTCCAAAGCAGAAGCAGTAGCCTCCTCAGAAATGTTTGGCTTGGCTGTTAGATTGGCTCAATGTTGAGGCTCTACACTGGCAGCTATTCTGAATCCTAATTAGTCTTCTGGTTTGTTGAAGGAAAAAGATGCTGAGGGGAGAGAAAAGCTGCTGAGTAGAACAGCCTTGTGGCTTTGACTTAAGCCAAGCACTGTTCTGCAAGATGAGATCATTTTAGTTTATAGCTTCTGAAACCCAACAGACTTGACTGAATAATCCTCATTTTAGCTGATTGCAATTGGGGTCTCATTGGGAAGAGGCCACCAGTGTTTGGCACCAGAAGATCAGCATTTACTAAGAATGGTGGAAAGAACTGGAGGGGTCAGATGTAGTCATGTCAATCTATATTCTTTATGAAGCTTTTTGATTACAGACAATTCTCATCTTTGTACTTCATCTAGAACCAAAATCAAAACCTTTGAGTATTATACATTCTCCTTTATCCCAAGTGTTTACCACCTGGTACCTTACTTGCTGAAGGGAGGATTTTTGGTGCACATTAGAGAGCCCAGTATCCGCTCTCCAGAACAATTTATTTGGTCTGAATAGTTCTGAGACAATTTCAAGAGCTGATCCAGGCCTGTCAGCTACTTGTTTTGCCATGAGCAAACAAGAAAAGCATGCCTCTCATTTACCACCAGATGACTCATCGATAATGCTTTCCCTCAGTTGGACTTTCATTTGTGAACAAACTGGGGTCCAGACGCAGGCTTTGAATATTTAATGATTTTCATTTCCTGTTTCTTCCCACTAGAGCCTCCAATTATGGTGACCAAACAGCTGGAAGACACAAAAGCTTATTGTGGGGAGAGAGTGGAATTGGAATGTGAAGTGTCTGAAGATGATGCCAATGTAAAATGGTAAATTCTTTCCTGCTGCCTGTCCATCTCTAATAGAGAAAGTATCTTCGTAACTGATAAAAGACAACATATGTGACTTTTAAACATGTGAAAATAATCTCAGCCTCATTTGTGTTAATAGAGATGACAACTAAAACTTTACTATGATCTTGGAGTTCTTTTTAGTCATGAGACTGAAAATTCTATAAATCCTATCTGGGTAGAGATGTAAGGAGACAGGTATTTACTAGTAAATAGATTATACAGACTCCCCAAGTCTTTTTGACTGGAAAGACCATGGATATTCTTAAACTCTGTAGCAGGCATTACTGGCAACATGTTATTTATATATTTTTCATTTAAATCCTCATTATTTGCTGGAGATATAATTCAGTGGGACAGCACTTACGTAGCATGCTCAAAACCCTTGGTTCCATCCCTATTGCCATAAGCAATAAATCATCATCACTTTATTTTTATAACATCCTGAAAAAGTACTTTAGACTGAAAATTATCTATTTCTTTCAAAAGTTAAAATGAGCTGGGGGTTATACTTCAGTGGTAGTGTGTGGTTAGCATGTGGAAGGCCCTCAGTTTGACCATTAGCACCACAAAAAATAAAAACTTGGAGTGGGAATGGCTAAAGAGTATTTTACTGTATATTTTCTGAGAGTTGCCACAAAACTAAACACTAGAAGATTTAAAATTGTACAATGACATGTAATATTGAGAAGAGTATAGTAAGTTACACAACAGGATTATTCAGCATTAGAATGAAATAGATTATTTGTATTAATCTAAAATCATGGCTGACTTTAAGAAGTGTCACAAGCCCTGAAGTGGGTCATATGGCCTCAAGTACCTGCATCTGATTGGTCTGGAATGAGAAGTGTTCATGTTCTTTAGGTATGATTTTTGTAGACAATACTTGTTATACTAAGAATCCGTTGACGAATTAATCTATCAGTGGATCCATATTCTTTAATTCAAAAAATCTTTCTTGTGTGTCTGGGATCTGTCAGAAACCCTGTAAAACACTGGGATAAAACCATAAACAAGATTAATGATGTGTTTTTCCTGAAGATTTTGATATAATTTTTATCCTCTTACAATTTCAAACACATATATAATTAATTTGATTATATCCCCCACCATTATTCGCTTCCCCCTCCCACTGATCCCATTCTTCTTCCCTTTGAATCTATGTTAACTCAGGTTTAAGAATGGTGAAGAGATCTTCATTGGTCCCAAATCAAGATACAGAGTTAAAGTTGAAGGGAAAAAACACATTTTGATCATAGAAGGAGCAACAAAGGCTGACAGTGCAGAATATTCAGTCATGACCACCGGGGGACAATCATCTGCTAAACTGAGTGTTGACTGTGAGTGAGACTTGTTGAGATATCTGCTGAATTGGCTTACAAATGATATTATATTTGTTAATCTAGCTTCAGGAAAGTCTCAGTCTATTTGATCGTTTACTTGTGACATCTTAAAACTTGGATTTCACTCTAGTGGAGTATCTATGGCAGATTAGGATCTCTGAAAAAGGAATCAACTACTCAATTCAGTAGTGGACCAATACCAGAAGAAAGAATAAAAATCACTTGCCAGAACAGTTACCCAAAGAGTTACAAACACAAGGCCATAAAAGTAGAGGGATCAAATCCTGATACTGTCTGCTTAATTATATTATATATACTTAATAATATATTTTAATAATATATTGATATATTAATTATATACTGTTTGCTATCTAGCCATCAAATAAGAATTCAGCACTCAACATGTAACTTGCAATTGTGTTCACTGTGAGAAGAAAGTTGTGTAAACCCATAGGGGCCCCACTCAGAACATTCAGAGTTTATTTGCTAGTAATAGACTCCAAAGCATAAAAATTAATGTCTTTGCCTAATACCCTCATACAGTAGTGATTTCTCAATGACAGAATCTGTTTACGTTTTTGAAAGTTAAATAGGAAATGTCAGACTGATTGGTAGTGCATATACAGAGCAGAAATCTTGCCTCTTTACTCCTCTTTTGGTTTAACTGCAGTTCATATAGTCACCAATTTATAAAGAAACAATCTCAAACACCCCTTATGATTCATGAAATTGTGACCGTTTTAATTCAACATCCAAAAAGGTTGTCGACCATAGGCAGATCTGTATCTGACAGTTGCATCCATTCAGTTCATCCAATTCGATCTATCCATAGTTCTGCCTTCACACAGTACATACATTTCCAAAAATCATTATGTTATACAAAATCATGCAATAATAACTATAGAGTTTATATAAGAAACCAGATTTGGGGCATTATTCCCAAAGAACTTTGATAAACAAAGTTCTCACTAAAAACAAAAAGAAAGACCTCATAAAGAAACAGCAACACATTGTACCTATGTTCAATTGTTATTAAATATAGCACTTTACCTTGGAAAAAGATATGCAGTTCTCTGTGGAATAGTTGTAGCTTGTGAGATATTTTGAAATAGTATGAGGATTTATTTGAAATCAGATGAATAGTTGTAACCTTAGGTATGATTTGACATTGCTCATATCTCATGGGTAAACAAAGATCATGACAGGTGTTTGAGGTATGTGAAATTAATATAATTTTAAGACATATTTTTATTATTTTTGATTATGTGTATTCATGTGAGGGGATATGTGCATGTGAGTGAAGGTGCCTGTGGAGACCAGAGGCATTGTATACTCCAGGAACTGGAGTTAAGGAGAGCTGTGAGCCACCTGTGGTGGGTGCTGAGAATTGAACCTGGGTTCTCTTCAAGAGCAGCACACGCTCTTACCCCCCAAGCCATCTCTCTAATCCAGAAATGGATATCATGCCCCATAGTGCTCAATTATATCAATCACATTGGGCTAAATTCTCATGTTTAAAGCATGTGTTTCTGGAAAACTGACAGTACATTGTGAAATGCCCATCTGAAGTTTGGGTGCAGATGCTATAATGTTCTTTATTTCTGTAGTGAGACCTCTAAAGATCACAACACCTCTGACTGATCAGACTGTGAAGCTTGGAAAAGAAGTATGCTTGAAGTGTGAAATCTCTGAAAACGTACCAGGAAAATGGACAAAAAATGGTCTTCCCGTTCAGGAGAGTGACCGTGTGAAGGTTGTTCACAAAGGAAGGTAAGCAAGCCAGGAGGTCCACTAGTAAGGAATGGGCCCCGTTCACCCCCCTGCTTCCTAAATTACGCATTCGTGGAGCTTTATTTGGAGAGTAGCCACAGGGAGATGACCTATTTCGAGTCTAGTAAGAAACAGTTGTTGTCTATCATGCCCCACTTAAGAACCAGTGTCTACACCTCATACTGTGATGCATTGTCCAAAACCCATCAACTGTTCCATCTACACATGCTGTTACACGAATGATTCTAAATTCTAATTGAGGGCTGGATCAAGTGTATCAGCTGTCCCTAATGTTCAGTAAGATGTGGGAGAGACCACTGGTTTGGAGTGAATTTCTGTGAAGCTGTTTATCTGACTTTCCAAGAGATCAGGAGAAAGAAAAATAATAACCAAAACCCCAACGGGCCATGTTTAGTTGGCACAATAAAGAAGTTCCCTCTGCTTTAAGCTATGAAAGGAAAGTTACTTGAAATAGCCCATATTTTGTTCTTGGTTGCTGTGTCCCTCCACCTTTTCTGTCTATAACATCAGCCTCCTTTGCTCAGCTCATCAGAGTACTCAGTCTATATCATGGCATTTGTGGCCTGATTCCAGGATTGCAAATAAAAGTCAGCTAAGTAAGGTCTTTAGACCATAATTGTTGTAATGTTTTTAATAACAGAAACCATTACCTGATCTTCCCTTTATTTCTTTCTTGTGGGAAGCAAAGATCCTAGAACCTAGCAAAGATCTAAGGCAAGAATTTGAACCTTGGCTCATGGACTCTCACGAGATCATGAGTGGATTTCTGAGGACCTAAAAATCCTCTGAAATTCTACCCGCATACAAAAATGCATATGTTCATAATAGTATAGTATGTCTTTCATATGTTATTCTTCACACGTGTGTGTGTGTGTGTGTGTGTGTGTGTGTGTGTGTACATGTGTGGTGTGCTAGGGATTGAGTCCAGGGCCTCACATATGCTGGGTTAGTGCTCTACCACTGAGCTACATCTTGACCACCCCCAAATGCATATTTTATTCAATGAAAGGATCCATGGTATCCTTTCAGTACTCATATGTGACCCCAGTAAACTTAAGAACCATTACTCTTTTGGCACGTTCAGCCAAAGTTAGTATTTTTCTTAGTTATCTCTTGTTTCTTTAAGTATAGCATTATTAAGATGCTATGTTTTATTCTTTTTGAAGTTATTAAATAAAAAATAATAGATGCTTGCATACACAATAAACAGCTGGATTTGTAGAGATACTTCCATATGCTTCAAACTCGACCTAATTTAGATCAATAACTAGGTTAATTAAGGTTTCACATTCTGTCTCTGTCCCTCTGTACATCTCTGTCTCTCTTCCTCTGTCTCTTTCCTACATGAAACAAGTGAATCAAATAAAGGACAGGCAGCTGAGTGTTGTGGTGCACACCTTCAATCCCAGCACTTGGGAAGCAGAGGAAGGAGGATCTCTGTGAGTTCAAGCCCAGCCTGGTCTACATAGCAAGTTCCAGGCCAGCTGGGGCTACAGGGAGACTTTGTTTCAGAAAGACCAAAAAAATAAAGGACAGGATCGGTTTGGATCATGTATATTCTACATCCTTGCAAAGTTTTAAAAGTATGTTTTTCTTGTTTCTTTAGAATCCACAAGTTAGTTATAGCCAATTCTCTCATTGAAGATGAAGGTGATTATGTGTTTACACCAGATGTCTATAATATTCCTTTGTCTGCCAAAGTTCATGTTATTGGTGAGTAGATAAAATAAATCATTATGTAACAGTATAACTGATGTAAGATCACATTATAATGCTAAGCATTTGAAAAGAACCTAAGTGGTTTTCTACTATACTAACATCTAGTTGATAGCGGACAAAACACCAAAGCAAAACGAATATGAGCTATTTAGTAATTGATTTTATAAGATGAAATGCTGGAAAAGAATTTCCAAGGCCCTTTTACCTTTAATATTTTTATTTAGGACCTTAAACATCTATATTTTAGGCATTAAATGTTTATTACTTTTGTTGTTTCTTTTTTTTTTTGGTTTTTTTTTTGAGGCAGGGTTTCCCTGTAGCCCCAGCTGTCCTGGAACTATATAGACCAGGCTGGCCTTGAACTCACAGAGATCCGCCTGCCTCTGCCTCCCGAGTGCTGGGATTAAAGGCATGCGCCACCACTCCCAGTACTTTTGTTTTTTCTTAATGGCATTCTCTGTTTCTAGTTTTCTTAAGTATGATTGAAATCAATTACTTTTAAATGTAGACTCTAAGTGTCTGTCACCCCTTAAATGACTATTAAACTAGTTGTTTTGTCAATAAAGAAAAAAAGCTTATTTTGCTTACCTTGGAGTATAATGAATTCGGAACTATGTGATTAAAAAATATGTATCAATCAATACTATTTACTAATCCTAAGTAAATTGTAAATCTGACAACGAAATAGTCAGTTTTACAAGGGGCCAACCACCAATTACCTTGACCCCTCTTATATACCTTTTAGCCAGATGTTTAAAAATGATTATTACCAATGTTTATCAGTAGTCAATTGCTAGCCAAAATATTCACACAAAAATGACTATATAATGATAGAAGCTTTGCTGAATATTCCAGATCCTCCTAAGATCATCCTGGACGGCCTCGATGCTGACAATACAGTAACTGTGATTGCAGGAAGCAAGCTTCGTCTTGAGATCCCTGTCACTGGGGAACCACCTCCCAAGGCCATCTGGAGCCGAGCAGATAAGGTTGGTCTCTATCCCTCTCTCACACAGACACATGCAGACACAGACACAGACACACAAACAGACAGACACACACACACACACATACACAGAACCTCTTCTACTCCTTGGACCCAGGAATCAGGTGAAGGCAAAAGGCAAATGAATGTATAAGTGTACACCACAGATATAATTCTTTTTTAAAAATATTTTATTGAGCTTTTGTAATTTTATACAACTGTTCTTAATCAAATTTAGCCACCCTCTCTCATCCATGCCCCCCATCCCCCCACCGGACCTCATGTATTCCACCATACATGTTCATCCCATCCAGTCATGCATTTGTGCCCAGATGTCCTTCAGCGTAACTTCATCCAAAAAAAATGAGGACTGATTTTCAGGCAAATCTATTAATCATTTATTTACTTTTCATATGTCTAATTATCCACTGTGCGACCAAGCATGCTTCTGTGAATCATGAACAAGGCTCCACCTTGCATTCCATGGACATTATGGGGCAAGATGGAAGAAAAGTAGTAAATTATTAAGTAGGCAAATGAATAAAGGAGCAAGCTCACTTTGCATAATAATAAATGCTATGAAAATATAAAAGAGAATGAGCTAATGTGGGTGTGGTGTCACATGCCTGTAATACTAGGAGAGTGCGACAATAGAACTGGAGGCCAGCCAAGGCTACCTAAAAAGACCTTGTCTCAAAAATCCAAGTAATAATAATGATGATTAATAAAAACAACAGCAAAACTCCAAGAGCGTGTTGTGCTAGCATGGGGCTGTATAGTTGCTGTAGCCTCAGTGAACGACAGCAAGGAACTCCTTGGGTGAAGACCAAAGGGAAGAGAGCCAGCTGAAAGCCATGCAAGTGCCAAGGCCAAGGGCACAGAATAAGCTAGGGTGTTGGAGAACTACAGAGCCAGCGCTGCTGGGGTGTGGTGAGCAAGGAGAGAAACACAAATGAAGTAGGGTCGTAAAGTATTACAGCTCAAAAGCAGCCCCTGGCTTGCCCACCAAAACACAAAAATTACATTTAGAAAGCAGAACGTAGCTGGGCGTGGTGACGCACGCCTTTAATCCCAGCACTCAGGAGGCAGAGGCAGGCGGATCTCTGTGAGTTCAAGGCCAGCCTGGTCTATGTAGTGAGTTCCAGGACAGCTGGGGCTACAGGGAAACCCTGTCTCAAAAAGACCAAAAAAAAAAAAAAAAACCAACAAAAACAACAACAACAACAAAAAAACCCAGAACGTGAGACTTCTATTTCCAGTCAGAATTGAACAAGAACCTGACTTACATTTTCATTTGAGATAATCTCCCAAACTGACAAAATTCTGTGAACAATGGTTTTGTAGACATTGGACTCAAGTAATGTAAATGTCTTTTCTTTATTTTACATTTTTTTATATTTAGTAATGAAGAACATTTTAAAGTTTATTTTTGTAACTTTTTTTTTTTTTTGGTCTTTTTGAGACAGGGTCTCCCTGTAGCCCCAGCTGTCCTGGATTCACCATGTAAACCAGGCTAGCCTCAAACTCACAGAGATCCGCCTGTCTCTGCCTCCCAAGTGCTGGGATTAAAGGCATGCGCCACCACGCCCGGCCTTTTTTTTTTTTTGCAACTTTTGTACAATATAATTTGGTAGTATTTAGATCCGCCTTATCTGCACCTCCCCTTATTGACACCCCCACCCAGTTTAATGTACTCTATTATATGTGTAATATGGCCTACAGAGTCTAATTTGTGTCCCCAAATGTCCTTCAGTGTGGGTCTGTCTACTGGAGCTTGGTTAACCTACCAAGAGTCCCATCCCTGTAAGAGACTGTCTTTCTCCCTCCCAACAGCCATCAGTTGACAAAATTTCTTTAGGTTGGGTTGGGGTTTCTTACCCACTTCCTCATGTCTATGCTCGGATTTCATCTGGTTTGAGCTTACATGGGACTTGTACATACTGCCACCATTGCTTTGAGTTTATATGAGTAACTGACCAGCTGTCTGAAAAACTCTATTTCCTTGTGGTCATCCACCACCTCTGGCTCTTACAATCTTCCCACTCCATCTTCTGCAATGATTCCTGAGCCTTAGAAGGCAGACATTTGATATAGGTGTCCTCTTCAGGGATAAGCACTCTGCAGTCTCTTGTTCTCTGCACATTGGCCAATTGTGGTTTCTGTGTTAATCACCATCTGCTGTATAAGGAAACTTCTCTACTGAGAGTTGAAAAAATGCATTAATCTATGGGTAAACAATAAGTCATTAAGAGCCAGTATAGTGCAATAACTATTTAGTAGAAAATATGGGCTCCATCCTAGGAAGCAGACCATAAATCCAATTAAAGAGTGGTTGTGCCACTATTTGTGCCACTATTACACCAGTGGGCATATCTTGCCAGGCCAATTGTAGTTCACAGGATTCACAGCTAGGCAAAGTTGATAATTATTTTTTCCTTTCAGTAGTTTGCATAATACCTTCTAGTACTATGAATGCTAGCCAGTAGAAATGAGGCTCTGAAAGTCAGCAGTGGCTGGGTTTCTCCTTGTTTGTTCTACAGCTCATGTATGTAGTGTCTTCAGCAACAGAGTCTTATCATCAAGTTCTGGTGGGTAACCAAAAACAGAGACAATGGCCAGTATTGTTTGAGGGTCCATGGGACTCCTGGTGAATAGCTTCTATAGAGGGAGTCCATTCCTGACACTGAGGGATTATTTTTTGTTAGCCTATGAATAATAAGACACGTTTTCAACCATAGTGAAATTAATCAGAAGTCTTATTAACTATCTGGAAAATTCCCAAATGTGTGGAAACTAAATAACACATTTCTAAGTAATTTGTGAGTCAAGAAAGACATCACAGGGCTGGATAGATAGCTCAGAGGTTAAGAGTGCTGGCTGTTCTTGCAGAGGACCCAGGTTCAATTCCCAGTGCCCATATGGCAGCTAACAACCATACATAACTCCAGTTCCAGAGAATTCGACACCCTCCTCTGACCTCTGTAGGCATTGCACAACACCAGTGCATTTACAAACATACAGGCAATACACTCATACACATAAAATAAAAATAGCAGATAAAAATTTTTAAAAGACATCACAAGGTAACATAAAATATTTTTGAAGATACCACATATTGTATTTTTGGTAACTAAATCAGTACTGAATTGCCCCAGCCATTAAAGAAATGGAAGTTGAAGCAAGACGTGAAAAGCACATGCCTGTAATCACGGCAGCTGTGCACCTGAAGCTCGTGTATCACAAGTTTGAGGCCAACCTGGGCTTCATGGTAAAACCCCTTTTCAAAGGGGGAAAATGGACTTTATAGTCTAAAAACCACTGAAAAAGAAAACTATAGGGCCAATGGCCTTAGTGCTACATTTGAACAAAGCTGTAGGGGAAAAATAGTACCAATTCACCAATTCTACACAAACTCTTGCAGAAAAGTGAAGAAAAGGAAACAGAGCTGTTACCAAAATTGGTTGTTTTTAAAATATTTTATTTATTATTTTTATGTGTATGAGTATATTACCTGCATGTATATAAGTACACCCGTATTGTGCAAGGCCCTCAGAAGTTAGAAGAGGACAATTGGATTCCCTGGAACTGAAGTTACAGATGGTTTTTAGCTCCCATGTGAGTAGTGGGAATCGAACCCAGGTCCTCTGCAAAAGCAGCCAGTGCTCTTAACTGCTGAACCATCTCTCCAGCCCCCCAAAATTGTTTTTAATGGCTAGCATTAACCTTATATAAAAACCTTGCAAAGATATTACTAGAAGAGAAAACTGCAAACTAGTATTATTCATGAATGATTAAAAAGTTCTATGCAAAATTTAGCAAATCAAGTTCAAATAAATATCAAGAGACTAATATGCTTTTCCCAGAAATGAGAAAACGATGGTTTAATGTTTGAAAATCAGTTCATAGAATTTGTGATAGTCACAAAGTAAGGAAAAATATGCAATCATCTCAATAAACAGCAAAAATATTTGATAAAACCTGGTATCTAATCCTAATAACCACACAAACTGACAATGTAAAATACTAGCAAGAATGTGGGACAGCTAAACCCTCAGACATCATGGTGAGAATATGAAGATACATCCACTTTTGCATTTTAAAAAGTTTAGCAAGCATTTTCATTTATTATTTATTTATTGATTGATTGACTGATTGATTGATTGATTGATTATGTGGGAGGGCACGTGCACCATACATGTGTGGAAGTAAGAGGACAACTTGTGGAAGTTGATTCTCTCCTTCCACCTTGTAGGTACCAGGGATTGAACTCAGGTTGTAAGGCTTGGTGGCAAGCCCCTTTACCTGCTGAGACATCTCATCAGTCCAAGCTTGGTATTTTTTTTTTTTTTAATATAAAGCAGACACTGACCGTTCAACTTTCTGATACTATTCCTAGTTGTTTACCCAAAAGAAGTGACTTATTTAGTCAAAACCTCGTATATCAAGGTCTGTGCAAGCTTTGTTTATAATTGCCCAAGTGGAGTGTTACTAGCAATCAAGGAACAATGCATTTAATAGATGCAGTGATACAGGTCAAGTCTAAAACTAATCATACAAAGTGAATCCACGTTCAAGAGACTACATACTGATTCTAGTTCTTTGGTAATGGGGATAAAGGAGAACTCTGGAGGCAGATAATAGACCAGCTGTTACTGAGGACAGGGATATGGAATATGAGCTGATGACCAAGGAATGTGAGAACATCATTTGGATCTTGTGTTTAATGTTGTTGTTTTTTTGGAGACAGGGTCTAACTATGTGGCATTGGCTAGCCTTAAACTTACTGTGTAGATCTGCCTCACCTCAGAGATCACCTGCCTCCACATCTTGAATGCTGGGATTAAAGTTGTGCAGCACCATACCCAACTTATCTACTTCTTGATTGGGATGATTATACAGTCACATCAATTATCAAAATTCATAGAGCTATAGATTCTAAAATGTGAAATTTACCCTATGGAAAGTATATTGCAACAAGCAAACAAATAAACAAAATATAGAAAACTGAAGAGGATAATGTAGCACCGTGCCAAACAAATCAGCGTTTCTTTCTTACATTACAGAAAAGCAGAACATATTTTATGATCTTAGAGAACTTGACTAATGCAAGTTTTGTTTTAGTATAAAATACAAGAATTACTGAATTATTTCAGGTATTTTGTTGCTGCTGTTGCTGTTGGGTTTTGTTTTGTTCTGTTGTGGTGCTTAAGATTTAACATTGAACTACATCCCCAACCTTTGATTTCCTGAGACAAGAGCACATTCTATAGCTGAGGCTGGCCTTGCATTTGCTTTGTAGCCTGGCTTCTCCTCCAGCTCCCATCCTCCTGCCTCTACGCCCCCCCCCCGCCCCAAGTGTTCTTATCACAAGAGAGAAAGACCACACTCACCCAGGTTTTCTTACTGTTGTCACAGTCATGTGTTTCTGACTTAAGAGTCCAAATGCAGGCACCAAAGTAGAGGGCTAATTTAATAGTTACTGTCAAATTATCCACCTTCTAAATTACCCTGATATGCTCTGATTTTCCTCTTTGTATAGTTGCTCTTTTGTCATATAGAAAATATGACATGGGAACAAAGAAGTATAAAGTTACTTAGTTTCAGGTTTAAGGAAGAAATCTTTAAAGATAGAAGGAAGTAAAAGAATAGAAGACTCAACTTCTCTCTGCACACTGAGAATTAGTTGTCAGCGGCATTACCATGACACATTACAATTACCTTAAGAAAACAGCCTGACTCTTAGCTTTAATTTTTAAGAGTGGCCCTGAACTCAGAGATTACCCAGTCCCCCAGATGTCTCTTCAAACTGCTGTGGAGTCAGGCCTCACTCATACTTTTTATTCAAAATCATTTCTCCAGCATCAGTTTTGGGCAACTACAAACTTAGAGCCACCCTTATCAGACAATCTTTCTCGTTCATCCTTAGGCCTAAAACATCTCATAAACACAATATCAAGTAACTCTTCTCAGTCTTCATTGTTTTCAGTGAAGATGTGTGCTGCCTTTCAAAGCTTTGATATGGTAGTTGCCAGGCATACCCACATTCATTCACTATTTTGGGTTTGAGCAGCAAATTGAGGATCCCAAGTGCCCAGGTCACAAGAGCACATGGTTCAGTGAGTTTGTCAAGGTTAATTACAAGTCATTAGTCCAAAGTCTGTCTATTTTATGTCATTTTTCCATGCCCTTAGACATGGAAGCAATATTAAACAACTTGAGCAGAAGAATGTTTCAGTGTTTTCAAATTTTCAAGGCATTTATGCAAATGAAAATCATGAGTTTCTGATACGCGATGGGATATTTCTAATTTCACACACAAAGAGGCTCCTGTCCTCAAGGGACATCGTCTATGTTTGTGTTTCAGTCCTCCAGCTTTCTCTTGGGAGAGCTGGTAGTTAACGGACTTTGGAATCAAGCCCTAGCTTTCTGTGGGTTGATCACATTCAGTCTTGGTTTCCTCTTGTGTAAATGGGGTAAGTAGAGCTGGGTAGGATTAACCTGAGAAAGTGCGTTTCAGGCTTAGCACCCTGTCTGGCTGAGGTTCTCAAGCTCTCTGCGGTAGCTTTTGTTGCTGGGCATGTAATGCCAGCTTTGCTTCTTCTTTGTCAGGCTATTATGGAGGGCAGTGGTCGGATAAGGGCAGAGTCTTACCCTGACAGCAGCACTCTGGTCATTGATGTGGCTGAAAGAGATGACTCTGGTGTGTACAACATAAATCTGAAAAACGAAGCTGGAGAAGCACATGCAAGCATCAAGATTAAAGTTGTGGGTAAGTTCTCCAGGGGACCAAGCCTCCAGAAACAAGCTGCCAGGAGACAAGCACAAGATGGCTGTATTCACTAAATCAGCATCTCTTTATCTACCTTTGCCGTTTCCCCTTTGCTTTACTGTTTTCTCTTCTTATCTGTTTTCTTGTCTATAAGACTTCTCACTGGAGGAATTGTATAGCTAGGGTCAGCCATTTGGAGTCGTTAATCTTTATCCCAGCAAAGTTATCATCCCTTTGGGTACCCTTTAAAGACCACGGAAACAACTGCCAAGTGATTTCGTGCCTCATCATCATTGTAAAGGAAAGATAACCATCTGCTTTGGTCCTTAGCTCACTATTGAAATACATTTTTTTCTAAGCCTGAAATAAAATGAAATTAGCTGACTGTTGGTATTTCAGGCTCTAGTAGCTTTCTCTCAAGAGATGTATTTCAAATTGGCCAAAACTTAGTCATTTCATCAGGATCTGAACCATAAGATGCAGTGTCTTGCCAATTCTACCAGTCAACTCTTGAATCTTCTACTTGATGTAAAAATTGACAATAATTAGTCCTTGCTTCCATTCTGCTGGAAGTTCTTTTTGTAGTTAAAAACAACAATCACATCCAACATTTAGGTGTTAATTTCTTGCTTCCATTTTCAGACTAAAGAACAAGAGACTGGGTTCCATGGGGAACGTATCTTCTGTGACACCATTTTAAAGGATTTGTAGACATCATTATGTTTATTTTCATTGAGTTCTCCTTCCCTTACCCCATATTGAGTGTAACATTCTGTCAAAGTTAATTACCAGATGCCTTTCATAATAAAAACACTCTGAGTAACAGTTTCTATGATTATCACCATACAACATATTTTATTATTAACATTTTTCCTTTATCCTTTTTGTTTTATTTTCTGCTATGTTTTATCTGTTACAGACATCCCTGATCCTCCAGTGGCACCAAATGTAACAGAAGTAGGAGATGACTGGTGCATTATGAACTGGGAGCCTCCTGTCTATGATGGAGGATCTCCAATCTTAGGTAATCACATACTGATCAGCCCGTGTTACTGCCATTGACATTTTCTTTTGTTGTGGATGAATTTCATACAATATATATTGATCATATTATATATATATCCCCAAATGGCCTTCTGTATGGGTTTATCCACTGGATCCTGGTCAACCTACTAAGAGTCTAACCCTTAAATGAATCCCCCCTTCCCAGCAATCATCAGTCACCAGTAATTCCTCACATAGGGTTGGGGTTTTTTACCCACTTTTCCATGTCTATGTTGGGATTTTGTCAACTTGACCTTACATGAGACTTGTCCATGTTGCGTTGATGTCCTCTTAATACGTATTAGAACAGAATACATTCTGAAAATTGCATTTAGAAGAAAGCCTGGTGGGCTGATAAGAGTCCTGACCTAACATGCAGGGGGCTCTGGATTCAATTCTCAGTACTTCCAAGAAGGAAAAGGTGGATGACACAGTGGCTTATTATGCTATGACTTTAAATGTCTATTGAAGTTGAAATATATATTAGGGTGTTCTGCAATTCCTTGAGATTTAAATGGATCTGATGAGTATCTTCTGACTGCCTGTTCTTTTTGTTTGTTTGCTATTTGTATTCAGTAGCTAATTTTGAAACAACTGCAAGTCTAGCTTATACTGCTTTGGTGAGTAAATGTCTAGTATCACAGGGTTATGCCACAGAACTTTTTTTTTTGGTCTTTTTGAGACAGTGTCTCCCTGTAGCGCCAGCTGTCCTGGAACTTGCTATGTAGACCAGGCTGGCCTTGAACTCATGCCTGCCTCTGCCTCCCGAGTGCTGGGATTAAAGGCGTGCACCACCACGCCTGGCTAGAAGAACGTCTTTTAATATTTTTTTATTTTATTTTAATTTTATGAGTGTATGTATGTAAGTACACTACATGTGTGCAATGCCCATGGAGGCCAAAAAGGGATCAGATCCCCTAGAAATGGAGTTACAGATAGCTATTAGTCACTGTGTGACTATTAGTAACCAAACCCAGGTCCTCTGCAAGAGCAGCCAGTGCTCATAACCACTGAGCTGTCTCTCTACCCCTGAAGGAATTTCTTTTAGCATTAAATTCTTAGAAGAATTTGCCTCCCCAATGGCACAGAATTTTTTTCTATAGATGATAATGAGATTCACCAAACTGATCATTTTTTCCATCTTGTGTCCATTGCTGGGACCTCCTGGACTCTTGGCTATGACTAGATTGCACAACACAATGACTAGGTTGCTAGAAGTCTATGATTCATGTCTCTTCTTTACCCAGTATAACTTTTTCCTTAGTCTCATTATTCTATTTTTATCTTTACCTTATGGTGTTTATCGTATGTATTCTCTCATCTCTAAGAACTGATAGAATAAGGTGGATAAAATCTACACGCCTATGACTTTTTCTCTTAGTCTCCTGAGAACATGCAAATTTTTAAGAACTGCTTTCTAAGACAGTTTAACTTTGGAGAGCAAGGAAAACCCCCTCAGTTTCCACTCTGTGTACCTGCAGGATACTTCATTGAGAGGAAGAAGAAACAAAGCTCTAGGTGGATGAGGCTGAATTTTGATCTCTGCAAAGAAACAACTTTTGAGCCCAAGAAGATGATTGAAGGTGTCGCCTACGAGGTTCGCATCTTCGCCGTCAATGCCATCGGCATCTCCAAGCCCAGTATGCCCTCCAAGCCCTTTGTTCCTTTGGGTAAGTCAACATGTCTTTGCTGCCCCAGATCATGACTGCTTTCCTTCTGACTTCTAACTGGAATGGGGCTGGAAGCTTCTTAGAGTGTTGGGTGGGCAGAAGACTAGACACAGTTAAGGATGATTTTATAAGAAATTGAAAACTAACTTTGAAAGAGGGGAACAGCTTCATCATGTAAGCCTTGGAATTCATTTCCAGAATTCCAGTGACAGCTGTGGGTAGCTCCCATCACCACTCCCAGCTATAAACATGAAGCTGAGTCCATCGGCATATGACTGCTCTCCATACGTCCTTCCCAAGGTGTCATAGACCAGGATGTAACACTGCTGTACAACTAAAACCAAACTACACTTGGAAATTAGTCTCTTTGCTTTATAATTGAATCTTAAATGTTATCTATTAAACCAAAAAAAAAGGACAAAGAAACAGATGTTTCCCCTATTTTATTGTATTTGAGTAATTTTTCAATAGATAGGAAATTTAGTATAAGAGTTTGTTTTAGGGACTAGAGAGATGTGTCAGCAGTTAAGAGCACTGGCTGCTCTTGGAGAGGACCCGGGTTTGATTCCCAGTACCCACATGGTGGCTAACAATCATCCCTAACTCCAGTTCCAGGGGATCCAACGCCCTCTTCTGACCTCCACAGGCATTGTACGACACGGGTGCACTTACACACAAGCCAGCAATACACTCATACACATAAAATAAAAAAATAAAAAAAATATATAATATGTATATTTATATATATATGTAAATTTACAGGGCTGTGGAAATGTTATTCTAGATCATGAGATCATAAAACTTGACTTCTCCAACTGCCTTTGGTCTTCCAGCCCCTCTCACAAACTTCCCAAACTGGAGAAAAAAATATAGCAGCCTTTCCATGATTCGCATGGGAATCAGCTCTATTCCTTACAGCACACTCCAGGGGATTCTGTTGAATTGTGACAAGATGTGGAGCTTCCGAATCTACTTTTAGTTGTGATCAGTTCATTTTATCTCAGGTCCTGTGCCATAGCTCTGTAGTGAGCGGTTTCTTCTTTCTCTGCCTCTCCTCTGTTCAGCTGTAACCAGCCCTCCTACGCTTCTGGCTGTTGACTCTGTTACTGACTCGTCTGTGACAATGAAGTGGAGGCCCCCAGACCAGATCGGTGCAGCAGGTTTAGATGGCTATGTGCTAGAGTATTGCTTTGAAGGAAGTAAGTACAAGTAGATGTTACAGTGAATACCGTCATCCCTAGGTGAGATATGCCTTGCTTTCTTTTGCCTTTGTCGGGAAGCCATCACTTTCTTACTGTAAGCAAGACTAAGTCAAAGGTCATCTTTCTGAGATGTAGGTAAATGTAGATTTGCTTCAGTAGTTAGTGTTAATAAATTGAGATCTCAAAAATATCTTAATTAGGCTCTAAGACTGGGCAACACCAGGAGACTAGGCCTTCGGCAAAACTTTAGGAACTTCTATTTCTGGAAGTAGAAGCTACTGCAGCGAGCCACAGAGAAGTGAAAGTTTACTTAGGGGAAGCGTGGTGGAATGAGTATACATTTGACCATCTAATGAGCATCTCCTGTCTCAAGGAGGAGGAGAATCAAGAATAACTCTTAATTTTAAGGAAACAATAAGGATTAAATTAAACATTAAAGGATTAAATCCCAGAGAGCACCAGAGATTTATTCAACATGATCTTAAGTCTTACACATATGAAAATTAAATTTTGGAGGTTTTACCATCCAAAAAAGCCTTCCCCCCAAATCATTGATTCAAGTAATAGAAAAAGAGAAAATGCCACAAGAAACCAAAAAGAAGTGACACTCGTTGTCTGCTGGGTTTCTTGATGTTCTAACTAGAAAGGAATGTCATTTGAAAATGGGCGAATTATGGCTTGGAAGGGTGTAGCTCAGTGGTAGAGCACTTGCCTACTGTGTGATAGGCCCTGGGTTCAATCCCCAACCTGAAAAGGAAAGGAAAGAAGAGAAAAGAAAAGAGGAAAGCAAAAAAGAGGAAGAAAGGAAAGGAGGGAGGAAGGAAGAAAGGGAGAATAACAGATGAATAGAACTGAGACTGCCCCACATCTGGACTCAGATTCCTCTCTGGCTGATGGTAAGCGTAAACAGTCATCCAGGGACATTTACTCACATTCCAAAAACAGACCTAACCTCTAAGGTCACTCTTTGAACCCCAAACTTTAACACTGAAACTCAACATGAAGGAAAGAATCAACAGCACATTGGGAATCAATCATATAAACCCAAACGGGCCTTCCCTGGAGGAAGAGCGCTGTGGAAGAAGAAGTCCTTATGAGGAGAAAACTGCTGAGAAAGCCCAGGCCCTGCACTGGGGCACCTGCTGCTCGGAAGGAAGAAGAGGAGATGGGGATGAAGTGTCCCTGTGTCACTGACTTTCTTTCACACCATACTCCACTTACTATGCCTATTTTTGCAAACTTCAGAAAGCCCTTGATCCAAACCAGTGGGGATGTTAAAAGAAAAGCCCAGGGTTAACATGGCAAGTGGGGTTGGATTGTAACTAATCCAACAAGAAAATTCTTCAGCATTTCAGGATATGGTGTATACCTATTCCACGGTCCTGAGTACCCCACTCTGTTTTTCACATGACCCAGACAGCAGAACTTCCTCATCTTATATGTGATGATGCTGCTGTTGTGCATGAACTCTTGTGTATGTATGAAACAGAGCAAATTCTTTACTCTTTTCTTTCTGATAGGTTTAAAAAGTAAGAAGATACAGCAAAATGATAGATGGCTGTCATTTTGATGTTACCCACCTTAGATAAAATACAACGGAGTGTATTTTACATAATTTTGCGTGTGGTCTGTGTAGATATATATGTATATAAGATATACATATGTATATGTACACAGTCATTATGTATATCTTTTGTCACATAACATGTTGGAATTAGCTTTCTATGGAAGTTCTTTCATAACGCGTTTCTCTCTCCTAGCAGTCTTTTCTTGTTTTCTAAACATGGCTGCCTTTTTCTTCACTCTTTTAATGGCTGCTGTACTCTAGACTAATTTTCTGAAGTGTTTAATGCTTTTAGATGTGTCAGGTTTACTCTGTAAAAGGAATCGTTGTTATATAAGGTTGTGTGATTTTTTTTCTGCCTTTCTCTTGGTTTGTTTTTATTTCTAATGCCTGTAGCATTTTATTCTTGTTTCTTTCCTTCACTCTAGTTCATTCTTTCCTTAAAATTTCACCTCGAGGATTAAACAGATTGCAGCACATTCACTCCCCTCCCCCTCAGGCCTCGTTCTCAGCCCGATTCCCTCCGTTAAAGTAGCTCAAGTGTGAAGAGATGGGTTATTTTTGCTCCCCTCCCATCTTTTTCATCTTGTTTTCTCTTGAAATTTTCTCCTTTACCCATTCTTTGTTCTTTTGTATTTTTTCATCTATTTTAACTTTCCCATCCATTGCCTCTTGACTATGAATATAACATAATAGCTATCAAACAGGCCATCTGATGAAAAGATGCATCTTTTTTCAAAGTCATAAGCAATTTTTATCATCTGTATGCCCTCTCGGCTATCAGGATATAAGACCTCTTTTATCCTCCTGGTAGGGTTGGAGAAGAGGGAAGGAGGCCAAGGCTTTCAGGGGCAGCCACTCTGAACTCCTTGCCCCCAGCTTGTCTTCTTGGTACCAAGAAAAGTGCATCATTCCAAACCCATAGGACTTGCCCAAAACCATCCTGTGAGCCTTTCAGTGGAATGAGGGCATCTGGCCATGCTGTTTGTGTTCTTGATACAGAGCTCATTGTCATGGTAACCAGGGCTTCTTCCTGAGCTCTTGAGGCTGACTTCATTTCTACTCAGAGCTCGGGAAGACGCAGCTGAGCCCTGTAAGACAGCGCTCCCGGATTGTGATGAGGGAACCCCACCACGGGAGAACCTGGGGACTGGACAGGACCCTCCCAGTCTACAGCTGGGGGAACAGGTGCTGCCCTCTGTGCACCCCAAGACGACTCCTCCTTTTCCTTCAAGGTCTTACTTTGTTCTTCTGTAGCTCATCTTCCCACCTCTGGAGGTGTCCTGGCCTCCTTTCCCCTCTTAGCCCGTTTCTTCTCTGGGGCAGGTGCCTGCAGACAAAACCCACAGACTGTACAGAACAGGCTGCGCCTCTCTGGAGACCCCCCCTTTAACATGTTTGGTCTCTTGCGTCACTGCTCTGAAGACAAGTCTCTTTGCCTACTTTGCATACTTTACTAACAGAGAATGCTGACTACTGATACGATATTCTTCTGGTGTGAGAGTGGGTGTCTTTAATTAATTTTAATGACGGATTCTCAAAGGTACATCAGCAAAACAGTCTAATGAAAATGGGGAGGCTGCGTATGATCTACCAGGTAAAGTATTCTGGGAAGCTCTCCAATGTTCTTACTCTATTTCTGGGAATGTTCCATGACCTCACATGGAGTACCCCACCACCTCCACACAGTTAAGGGGAAAGGGGGCGACTTTATCTTTGGGATTCAAGCCTTCTCTTTTTCCAGTGGGCATTTCTGCCTTTTAGAAGCTGAAACACTTGTAAAGCACTGGATTTAAAGTCTTTTGATATTGTAGAGTGTAGACAAAGCTACCAAATGCTTAAAAAGAAAATCAGATTTTTGGTGGAGAGGAAAGGATTGTATACCTCATGATGTATCACCCCAGGAGTCTTGTTTTCTCTTAAATATAACTGGCTTTTCTTCATGAATTCAAGCAAATATGATCAGATCCTTTATGCTTACATTCGTGTCTCACAAGAATTAGCCAGCTGAGATAGAACAGAGGTCACATGACTGTAAAGGATGCAGGCAATTTCCTGTCTTTCTGAATTTTAATTATACGGATGCCCAAATGAGATGATTATATCAATCATTGTGAAACCAAGTTGGAAGAAAACTGCTACAAAATTCTTGGGAATAGTTCACTTCTCAAGTTCCCAATAATTCGAGACACTTTAATCTTTAAAGAGGTTTTTCCACCCCCAGAAATAACAAGCTCTAATAGTTAATTTTTCCTATTGTTTATGCTAGCCATTTTGGAAACTTTTTCCCCAGGTATTTAAATACATGTAACCTGAGTCCAGAACACAATTATATTCTTTCTCATGGTTTAATTATAAGTAAAATGCTAAGTTGGAGTTGATTGTGGTGACCAGGATGATTACTTTCTCTCTAACCACTGTTCCTGCTTCCTTTCTTTTGTATGGATTTTAGCTGAAGACTGGGTAGTTGCAAACACAGATCTGATCGACAAGACCAAGTTCACCATCACAGGTCTGCCCACGGATGCCAAGATCTTTGTACGTGTCAAAGCTATTAATGCAGCTGGGGCCAGTGAGCCCAAGTACTATTCTCAGCCCATTCTTGTGAAGGAAATCATAGGTAGGTAGGTGATGAGGGTCTCAAATTTAGTCTCCCTTTCCTATTGTTTGCTTTTGCCATAAAGCAATTATATATATATATATATGTAACTTTTTATATTTGCCTGCCTGGTGCCCAAAGAGTCCAGAAGAAGGCATTGGATATCTTGGAACTGGAGTTACAGCTATTTGTAAGTCTCTATGTGGGTGCTGGAAACCAAACCAGGGCCCTCTCTGAAACCCAGTTCTCTACAAGAGAAGCAAGTCTCTTAACCACTGAGCCGTCTCGCCAATCTTTTTCTTTTTTAAATTCCTTTCTCAGGCTCAGCAGATGCCTCAGTAAGTAAAGCTTTCGTTCTGAAAACTTAAGGGCCTGAGTTCAATCCCCCAACCCCACATTTAAAAAGCCAGGCATGGTGGTGTGTATTTGTAATCCCAGTGTGCAGATAGGCAGATCTTTGGGACTGGCTGACCAGCCACTCTAGACAAATCAGACACTCTCGGCCAGTAAGATTCTGTCTCAAAACAAACAAACAAACAAAGCAACAGCAACAAAAAAAACCCAAGGTGGACAGCATCCCAAGAAACGACACCCAAGGTTGACCTGTGCATGTGCATACACACTAACATGTACACACACACACACATACACACACACACAAAATATATGCACAGATATACACACACAAATCCTTTTATCAAAATTTATTTTGCTGCCATTCCTTTGTTATTTTATTAATGCTTCCTGGAAGTTAAAAATCAATACAATAGTTCTTTTTAGGCAGTTTGGGGGGGCGGGGTCAGCTTCTATCGTTCAGTACTCAGAAGACCACTGGCTCAACCATTTTCTATGAGCCAACTCTGGTGGAGCTGCCTGTTCACACTGGAGAGACAGAGTGTGCTATAACAATACAATCATCCTTACCCAGAAGTCTAGGCCCAAGTGTGTCTGCAAGGTCACAACCATTTTCATAGTAATATAGATACCTTCTGATGGTGTAAAGTGCAACTAAATTAAACTGTTGGTGTCTTGGCATGAATCAAGACAGTGCCACTGAACTACAGCAGCCACCCTGCCTTCCTCACAGTATGTGCTCACAGTTAAAATAGAAGGGCCAGTTTTATATTATAGTGTTGTTGATGAAACACCAAATATTAACTGTATTAAATCTTGGTCCCCGAGTCCATTTTTTTTCTTGACTAGGGGCCAACTTTTGGAAGTCAGCTCTCTCCTTCCACCATGTGGGTTACAGGATTGAACTCAGGTCATCATGCTCATATAACAAGCATTTTTACCCACTGAGCCATCTTGCTGGCCCTCTGGCAGATATTTTTCTGGAAAATGAATGGAATGAGCATGTCACTTTAAGGAATACAATTTACAGCATTTGTTTTCAACTTGCCAATGAAAACATTTGGATTTCAAGGAAAAAAAATAGAATTTTGGAAAACGAGTATCTACTCACATGAATTTGACAGCTTTTCAATATTTAAAAATATTCTGTTCAATAAAGTATTATATGTTAAAACATGGCAGCACTTGGAAGAGCTACACAATTGAATGGAGAGTAGTAGCTGCCAAATGATCAATGAATGTCAAAAAAATCTTGCATGGAAGGTGGTCATAGTGCCACATGTTCATAGTCCCAGCAACTTGGGAGGATGATGCAGCAGGATTGCTTGAGTCCAGGAGTTCCAGGACCAGCCTGGCAACACAGCAAGACCCTATTAACAATATACATATTATCACTGGGCACAGTGGCACACATATTTAATCCCTCAGAAGGCAACAGTTGAGAGGTAGCAGCGGGCAGATTTCTGTGAGATCAAGGCTAGCCTGGTCTACATAGCAAATTCTAGACCATCTGAACTACAGGCAGTCTTTGTCTCAAAAAAAGATTTTTTTTTAAATTCAAAGTACAAGATAGGCTGAGTTTTAATGTCACAAAGTATTTAAAAAGTCACTGAAATAGTTTCAGATTTTACATTGCAGCTAACCTTTAGGAAACTACAGCTCATGTTTTAGTGTTGAATCAAAAATAAATGTTCTCAATAGCCTGAAAAGCTTATGACACTAATCCTCCCAGGTGTGAAACCAGATGGTCCTCATACGCTTCAGCCAATTCACATCACAGTAGATTGAAGGAAGAAAGATGAGACTCCAGCCGTCCTCTACTCAGTCAGACATTAAAGAGATTTGTCCAAATATAAAATGATGCAACTCACCAACCTTAATTATTTGTTAATATAAAAGATGGTTACTCTTCATTGAAATGTTATTTAAGCTACCATTTTTGAGTAAGTAAATGTTTCAGTAAGTCCTCAGTTTTAATTTTAGCATGATAATAGTTATAGCTCACATAAACAAAAGTGTCTCGAGGTCTATAAAAAGAATAATACTGTAATGGAGTACTGGGATCAGAAAGTTTGAGAACCACAATTCCAAGGGAAAGAATATTGGACTGAAGGTTTGGATATCTGGGATGAAGACAAACTTTTGGCACAGACTCATGACTACCTAAAACCTTCTGGGACTGAGTTAGGGAAGGTACAGACAGATGAGTAGGTAGATAGGTAGATGAATTGGTGGATGGATGGGTGGACATATGGAATGGATAAAAGAAAGTGTAAAGTACATTTTCTTAATAGAGTCTAGAAATACCTATATAGGTTTAATCCAATTATTAGCTTTGTGACCTGGGGCAAGAGACATGCTTTTCTTAAATTCTAGTTTTTTCAACTGAAAAATAAAACCAATAACAATACCTTACCAAGAGATTAGGAAATGAAATAAATTACTTGCTTAACAAAGCACTTGCCTTCTAACAAACCTTCAATATATACATGTATGTATATCTTTTATTATTTATTTATTTATTTATTATTTATTTATTTTGGTCTTTTTGAGACAGGGTTTCCCTGTAGTTCCAGCTGGTCTGGAACTCACTATGTAGACCAGGCTGGCCTTGAATTCACAGAGATCCACCTGCCTCTGCCTCCCAAGTGCTGGGACTAAGGGCATGTTTCAGCACACCTGGCTTATCATTATTGTTTTTTAAGATTTGTTTTATTTTTATATATGTGTGCATGTTTGTGTGTGTGTGTGTGTGTGTATGTGTGTGTGTGTGTGCGCATGCATGTATGTGGATGCCCACAGAGGCTAGAAGAGGGAGCATTATTTCCCCTGGAGTTGGAGTTGCAGTTGGTTGTGAGCTGTCAAATGTGGATGCTCAGAATGGAACTTTGGGCCTCTGCAAGAAGAGCAAGGTCTCTCTTAACCACTAGACCAGCTCTCCAGTCCCAGCAATAACAGCAGCAGCAGCAGCAGCATATTTCTTTTTTGCTTCTTTTTTCTTTTTGACTTATTTATTTTTATTTATGTGTATGAGTGTTTTGCCTCATGTGTGTAAGTGTAGCCATGCATACAGTGCCTACGGAGGCCACAAGAGGACATTGAATCCCCGGAACTGGAGTAACTGATGGTTGTTAGCCACCATGTGGGTGCTGGGAACCCAACCCAGGTCTTCTGCAAGAACAACCAGTGCTCTCAGCCACTGAGCCATCTCTCCAGCCCCCTCATCATATTTCTTAAGGGACCTTACTAGGTATGTTTCCTTATATGTACTATTAGGGAGTTAGAGGATCTCCATCTTCCCTCCCCACCCTAAAATCCAACCAGCAATGGCAGCAGTAATAGCAATTAATTGAGCACTTACTACTCTCAGCTATTATGCTAAGGGATTTACATGGAATTACCCTTACCAGCTCTATGAATTCAAAGGAAACATGCTGCTGTCATTTCCATCTTATGGAAGAGGAGACTAAGACCAGATCTATTGTCTGACCTGGCATTCAAAGCCACAGCTCTCCAATTCAAGCTGAAGCACTTGAGCCTAACTCCAGGTTCTATCCTGTATGAGATCTCAGGAATTATTTAACTTGCTATGCTTGTTTCCTCACTAAAGTAAAGCAGCACTTGCTTTACAAGGCAGCTGTGAGATTTAAACTATTCATGGAGCGCATTTTGCCTAGTGTCTGCTCCATCCTAAACACTCACGGAAAAGAGACCCACTACATCTCTGAGCACCTACACAAGCCTTTAACTTCTTGATCCTGGTGGCTCTTCAGCAGCATGTTCTAGTATCTCCATGGTAGTGCTTAATTAATATCAACATACATTGGGTGAAGGCTGCTGATAATGCATTCCAGCCACAGGGAAAATGTTCCTATCAATCTCCAACAGAGTCATCAAAAAGCAGGTGCTGTATTTTTCCCCTGATGGGAAAGAATGAGCAGTCCTGCCAACTGAAGCTGAGCCTGTAGACTTTCCATGGAATGTTCATTCAAAAAAAAAAAAAAAAAAAAACTCTTACTATTAGGAACTATGGAAGATATGTATAAGGTCCTGAGAGGAAATTTCTTAAAAACTTGCCCTAAGCCTATAGCAACAATAAAAATACAAAGTTTCAAGAAAGCAAGTTACTAAATTATTAAGATATCTATACTTGGTACTAGTGAGATGATGTTCAACAGTTAAGCGTATATACTGCTCTTGCAGAGGACCAGCACACACATCATGGTTCACAACTGTCAGTAACTCCATTTCCAGGGGATCTAATGTCTTCTTCTGGTCTCTACAGGCACCAGCGTGCATGTAGTACACATACATCCATACATGAGGCAAACACACACCTAAGATAAAAATTCATCTTAAAAAAAGATATCTGTATCTGAAGAAAACAGTTTGGACCAAATTTCCCAAATATGCTATTAGTAGAATATCTAAGATTGTGTTAGCCATGTGAGCACAAGGATGGACCATGAGCATCATGCTGTTACACTTACTGATAGCACAATTATGCTTCTCTGCCCTTGCTCAGAGCCACCAAAGATTCGCATCCCAAGGCACCTGAAACAAACTTACATCCGCAGAGTTGGAGAAGCCGTCAACCTGGTTATACCTTTCCAGGTAAAAAGCAGGGGTCCTTCAGTTTCTCTTTCTAGGGGTGCATGAGAGTAGAGGGGGGTGGTCTAGCTTTTAAGTTCACCATGATTCAGAATTCTCCAGAAGGATTAGGTCAATAATTGAAGAGACTTGGGGCCAATAAAAGAAATGTCCTGTTGAAGAAATGGAAAATGCCATACAACTGTCAGACTTCACTTCTGCAGGACACAAACGAGACCTAATCATGCCTAAAGCTTGGGACTGTGATGGAACTTGGCAGAAACATCAGAGAGGAAGCAAATGAGAAATGCTGTGGTCCTGGCATTGATTACACTGATCATTTGAATTAAACTTCTCACATTCAACAAAACAACATTCTTAGTTTCTACAATGACCCCCAACCAAACGGAATTCTACTTTGACATCTTGAAACCACTAACTAAAACACATGTCCCTTGTAAAATCACTATTCCAGCAAAAGAATCTGCTGTTTATGAGATTAATTAGGTATCCTAGTTGGCTTTTCTGTCACTGTGGTAAAGACCAAGACCAAAAGCAACTCGGAAAAAAAAAAAGGTTTATTTTAGCTTATGGGTTATAGTCTACCATTGAGGAAAGCTAGGGCAGGAATGCAAGGCAGGAACCTGAAGGCAGGAACAGAAGAAGAAATTATGGAGAAAATCTGCTTACTGGTTTGCTCCCCTTGGCTTGCTCAGTGACCTTTCTTATATAGCCCAGGCCCACCTGCCAAGGGATAGTACCACCCACAGTTGGCTGGGCCCTTCTGTACCAATTATCTATTAAGAACATGTAACACAGACATGCCCACAGGCCAGTCTAACAAGGGAAATCCCTCAGTTGAGACTCCCTCATCACAGATTTGTCTAATTTTTTCTTTCAAGTTTGCAAGCACTAACAAGCACACTAGGTTTTGCTCATAATAATGGTTAAGTCTCATGCGAGCATGTACACACACACACACACACACACACACACACACACACACACACTGTTCACAGCTGTACTTTCAGCACCTGAGAGGCTGAGGCAAGAGCATTACTGTGAGTTTGAGGCCAACCTGGGTTACATAATGAATATCAGAACAGCCAGAGCCACATAATAAGACTTTGTATCAAACACACCAGGTGTGGTAGTGCATACCTGTAATCTTAGCATTCAGGAGGCAGAGGTAGGAAGTTCAGGAGTTCAAGGTCAGTCTTATCTACACAAGTTTGAGTTTGAAGCTAAGTTGGACTATATGAGACCCTGTCTCATAAACCAAACAACAACAAAAGGAACTAAAGCTTATTCCTATGAATAAGAGTATAATTTCTTAAAGTGTATTCTTCAAAAATAGTGTCAGCAGTTAGAGAGAGCAGAGAGGGAGCTCTAAACCAGTCTCAGATGAGCAGCACGGTATAGAGGAACAATAATCACTGACCTTTAGGTGAGCCTAAAAATACTTTATACAGTCTGCAGAAGCTCTGCTAAGACCTCAGTCTTTGTAGCCACCCTAGTTGGGCACTACTATTACTCCTGCCTTGTATATTGGGAAACCGAGGCACAAGAGTTTAAAGAATCCTTCCAAGGTCATGCTATCAAGTAGTCAATGTGCAAATCTAGATTCCAGAGCCCCATGGCTCATCCCTTGACCACTATCCTGTGGAGCCTGGCAGATCTATCTGTAAGAACTAGTTCTAGAATTTTCTTAGCTACAAGGCCTTGGGGATATCAATGAGCTCCTCTATCCAAAACAATGAGGATAATGATTTTTTTTTTTTGGTCTTTTTGAGACAGGGTCTCCCTGTAGCCCCAGCTGCCCTGGAACTCACTATGTAGACCAGGCTGGCC